ATTGAACAATGGACATGATGCACACTGGGTTTCGAGTTTCGGGTTTCGGCACTCGAAACTCGGTGATATGTGCAATGAGTAAGAAATGGACATGTTCCATACATATTTTCGGGTTTCGGCGCTCAACACTCGGAACTCGATGATCTGTGTAATGTAAATGAACAATCAATGTGTTGCACACCGGGTTTTGAGTTTTGGGTTTCAGCACTCGAAACTCGGTGATTTGTGCAGTGAGTGAAAAATGGACATGTTGAACAATGGGTTTCAGGGTCTCGGGTTTGAAAAATAGCATAATAACAACTTTCATGTTTTCATTATCATTTGCCTATATTGACTACCGAGTCCGATAAGGGACCCCTTGGATGATCCATTGCTCAATGAAATACTACCTGATTGGAAGTGTGCTGGTTATCAGATATTCATTTGTCGACTCCCGGGTCCTGGAACTCAGAAGTCGGTACGGTTGACCCAAATTTGGGTGGTCGGAACTTGGTGTCTCGTAGGGCAACACAAGCTTTGCACCCCGGATTCCAAATTCTGCAAGACAACCTGTGCACCATCAAAGGCCATGTCAGGAGATCACCTGCTGCTCCGGGAACTCGGTAACTTTGATTTATTACCTCCTCTGATTTGGTTGATGTACAACTACCTCAGCTCCATCATGTCTACAATTATGATACACATGGGCCCACCCATCTATATTTTATACCACCCTCGGCCCACCCATCTAATACAACATCCCATACAACACCCTCGGCCCACCCGTCTAATTAATATGCATCTGGGCCTACCCGTCTAATACAATATTTTATAATACCCTCAGCCCACCCGTCTAATTTAATATGTGTCTGGGCCCACCCGTGAATGTGATAACAAGTACCTACCCATCTATCTCATACACATCTACCTTAATACACCCATCTGCATAATATCCAACTACCTCGGCCCACCCGTCTACCTAATATTCATATACATCGGCCCACTCATCTACTCTATATATTCCCTGCATGGGCCCACCCGCCTCCATCGGGAATAATTTGCCTCCCGGCCCATCCGTCATAGTCGAGGATATTTTTATCATGGGCCCATGGTCCGCTGGCCTGTATCATACGGGATATTATGCATGTCCGTTCCCTCGTATTATACGGAGATAGGTCACTGTAATATGTGACAATGCTCGCTCTCAAGGCGCGTGAATCCCCATGCCAGCATCGCCTCGTTGAGGGTCTTGTTCCGGACAAGTCCACCCTGCTTCATGCCGTAGAGTCCTTTCTGTAGCTCCCATACATTGTCTTCTTAGATAGATGATCTATAGATAAACACCTATAAAAACAAATATCTCCATGGTCAGCGATTCAGACAAATACCAATGACTGATAACGTGGTCGTTCGTGGGTGGCTAGTTGTATACTACCCAAAGTACGTTCAGCTAAAGGTACTTCTGCAAGATCAGTAAATACGATGGTCAATCCAATCTATGGACTTGACAGAAACAAACAAACAAACAAATAATGGTCAGCCCGACAGTATGGCAGTAACCAAAGAAATAGAAAGTTCTTCCTCAAGCTTCCTTTCAACAACAGTGCCTCTTACCAAACTGTACTCCAAAAAGAATGGTGCGGAATTACAATGATCAACCCCCTCAGCACAAAACAGGTAGAATCAAAGGTCAAGACTAGTCCAATGCTTTATTGTAGAACTCTTAGCTCAATATTGAACCTGCTGTCAAGGAACTCACTTTGAGTATTCAAACAGACTCAGGAACGGACGTCCTTGGATTTACTACCAAGTCCCCTCTTCAACAGCTAAAGCCTAGCAGGCACAGAAAACCTTGGCTCAGTATCACTACTCAGATGAGTGAGGTCAAGCTTCACTATCAATCCCTTAAGTCTCCCCACTAAGCTACTCTGAGTCTTAGGTGGATGTAGAGACAACACGAATATTTTGGAATATTCTTTTTTGGAAAAAGAACACCAAAGGCTGGTGAAAGTAAAACAGAAGAGAAAAGAAAAAGAAAAAGAAAATAGAAATTTGAATAAAACTGTGGCTGTACCTTGCTTGCTGGTTGTTGCACACAGTGAGCTCGCAGCTAGTCGTTTAGTATGATGAGCTTGCAGTATTACTGTCTCTTGAGAATGTTCCTCTCAGTCTTGAACAGTTCTTGACACTGATGCTGACACTTATCACACCTTACTCACAACTTAATGTTAGATGGGCTGAAAACTCCCACTTGGTTGCTTCTTAGTTTTTTTTTTTTTCAAAACTGGGGTCATTATATACACAATAAATGTGGCTGTGCTACTAGTATATTCAAGAGTCATAAAGAGTCATATATTCAGGGTGAGTCATAGTGAGTCAGTTCAAAGTTATTTCTAGTCATAGTGAGTCATATATTCAGAGTGAGTCATAATGAGTCATTGGGTATTTTGCTAAGTCATCCTGGCTTGTTGCTAGTCATGTGACCTATCCAACTCCTGATGACAAGTCCAGAAAGAGAGTAAGAAATGTCACATGATGTGAATCCTTTGTGTGTCTGTCTTTTCTTTGCTTTGTTTGAAGGGTGAAAATGACGCGAGCCTAATATTTAGGGTTTTACGAATGTTTTTCCAGGACAACATATGTGGGAAATATTTTTCACAGTCACCTGACATGCGCGGGATTTTGTCTGGGTCATCACCATGGCTGACTAAGCAAAACTCATTGCCAAATTAAATGTACTAAAATATTCAGTCCGCTCGCATGCAAACTCGTAAAAACGAAAAATATTCCCTTAGCCTCAGTCTGACTTCAGATCATAGAGAAAATGATTTCATAGGGCATAGGGCTCATAGGAGAGTATCAGTCATCCATGCACCGAACCAGTTTGGTGCAGGTCAACATGGTCTTCGAAGCCAGGAGTGACAAAATCTTCTGGCTGTTCCATGTAGCACACTTCGTCGGCGTCGAGCAACCCATACAGAAACACAGTCTTGATATCAAGTTGCTCGATCTCCCAGTTCAGGGCAGCGCCGAGGTGGGCGAGGATGCAGAAAGACTCAAGTCGGGCTGTTGGCGCTGAGGTTTTCGTGTAGTCCTGCCCCCATACGGCAGAGTACCCTTTACATACATAACGTGCCTTGAAGCAGGCAGCAGCACCATGTTGATCGTGTTTTAGTTTGAAAATGGGGCGACCCTTCATCAGTTTACGGCCGGCCGGAATTGATGTGCGTGGAACGAGTTTATAAACACCTAAGTCCCGTAGTGAGTCGAACTCCTCCTGGAGAGCTGCCGTCCACTCTCGAGCGTGCGGTGACGCCATGGCTTCTTTGTAAGACGAAGGATCGTCTGGGTGTTCATGATCGAAACCATCGGGGACAGCTGAAAACGCCTCGTACAGGTAAGCGAGCTCCTCCTCCAATGCTGCAACATCAGTAGGGAGAAGATCGGCTGTAAACGCATGCTCGGTCACATCGTCAAGTCTGCGAAGACGTTCAGCAGCAGCAAGGGACGCTAGGGCAGCTCATTGAGCGGCCGGTACATAGGACGTACCATCAGCAGCGCATTGCCGCTCAGAATGGACAGGTGCGCGGTTGGATCGGCGTAGAGGTGGTTCAGGAGGGAGTGGGATCTCGTCTTCATCAGGCGCATCAGTGACAGAGGCGCGTTGGGATATGTTGGAAGATGGTTCCGGCGTGTCTGGTCTAGAGGCTGCAGGAGGGTTAGATACAGTTCTCCCAGGATGTAAGGGCATATTGTGCTCATTGAATGACTCAATAAAAGAGACATTGTGCGATACAAACACTTTGTGCGAAGCACGGTGGTAGCATCTGTAGGCTTTAGAGTCAAGGGAGTATCCGATCAGAACACACTTGGTCGAACGATTAAAGATTTTCGGATTATAACGATTTTGAATGAGGACGAAAGCACGACAGCCGATTTCTCGCAGGTGTGACAGGTCGGGTTTCCGTGAGTACCATTTTTTGTACGGGGTATGTCCAGCTTGTGATGTTACTGGAGTACGGTTAGACAAGTAGGCTGCGGTGAGTACGAACTCATCCCAACGGTTAGCGGGCACGTTGCAAGAGGTATGCATTGCGCGTGCCTTTCCCATTAGGGTGCGGTGCAGACGTTCAACACGTCCGTTGTGAGCCGATGTGTACAGGGCAGTGAACTGGTGTAGGGTCCCGCAGGTGAGGAGCCACTCACGTACGCTGCCAGACTTTAGTTCACCATTATCAGAGCAAAAAATACTGACCGTGAGGCCTGTTTCAACTTCGCGTGCTCGTTCCCAAGCTTGTAGCGCTGGGAAGGCATCGCTCTTGGCCGTGAGGGGGATGGACCAGGCGTACGAAGAGAAATCATCAATGATATCCATTATGTATCTATTTCCTGCGACGGACACAGTATCCGGATGCTCCATCAAGTCCACATGTACAATCCCGAGTTTGCGATCTGCGCGAATACCCTCCCTAACCTTCGGAACACTAGTCTTGGTCTGTTTTCCGAGGATACAAGCATCACAAACGGGTGGAAGGGAGGATAGGTCAATAGGCATACCAGTTGCAAAGCCAGAACACGCAAACGAGCCGTAGTTGTAAGATATGGCCATAATAATATGGTAATAGCCATCAGCGGACATTCCAAAACTCACGGTAATTACCATTTCCGTTTTTGGGCAAAGCTTACACAACCTCGTCCAGCATTCGGACTTTGAATTTCTCATGCTTGCCGTCCAAAATGAGCATACCGACGATCCGGGTGTAAGAAATACCTGGATAATGCAGGATAATTCCTCGTATATATTATTCTATTTACCTAGATCAAAAACTAATCGCGCGCCGTGCATGAATAGGACAGGTATACATCTTTGTCAGCATTTATTCTTTCCTCTGGATACTACCCCCGGGCCTCGCCACTGGTACCACTCGCATTTCCCTCTATATTGGCTACAGGGACACATGGGGTGAGTGATAATACCATGTCCATGTATTTATTTTCCATCCCTTTACAGTGATTCGAATATGCCATCGAGCGGACCGTCAGATAAATCCCCCCCTCCTCAAACAGTGGATATACCACCGGCTGAACCTGACCAGCCGCCTGGTGATGCTAACGCCTATGTAGAAACACTGAAAAAATGCTGGGCGACAGGATCGCGACTAGAATTATTGCAATCACATATCCCGAAGTATGCGAGCAGCCTCGCAGAAAGTCGAACCCGCGCAAACGACTACCTAGATATCATCGTGAACGACTATTTCACGCATTTCCATTGGAAACTCAAGGTCTCAGAGGAACCGCCAGCTGATGTGTCTCTCATATCTCACTGTTCCGAGACGCTCACCCCGTTAGAATCCCTTCAAAAGCAGCGCAAAATTGCATCCATGCGCAAGGTATGTTTTTCTTTAAATTCTTACATTTTTAAAACAAATTGACGCTATAGACTCTACGTAACTGGTTTGACAACCGTTCCAAAGCTGTGCACAAGATCGGCCCCAGCACGAAAGCCGAGAACAATCCATGGACACGTCTTCTTTCCCAGTTGTCTGGTGTCTCACCAAACAAGCCCAGAGCCCTGCAAGCTCACCAGCGGTGGTCCAAGGATTTCTACGAAAGTATTGTGAAAGCAAGATTCGAGGCACAGTGGGAACTTTCATCTTGCCCTCCAACAGAGAAAACCTTGTTCCGCGACCGTGTCACGCGTGTTATTTTTGAGGAGCAAGAACCATCGGTCATCAAAAAATATGAAGTACTCGCTCAGACAGAAGGCAAAGAGGCGGTCAAGAAATGGAAGGCCTTGTTAGAAAATCCTCCTCTTACTGACCCAGTTTCTCGTCAAGCGTACGTACAAACATACTCTTATGCTCAATAATGGTGGCTTAGTTGTTTCCAGTGCACTCGATGGACTTGCGCCATTTGCAGGACCCCTGCTATCTGGAATCTCAAGTGCGCTGGGCATGCACGTCACCCTGATGGTTGGCGGACCCGAACCGCGCAAGCAAGGCAAAATTAGCGTAATCAGGTTAGTCGTGTGTTATTATCCCGTGAGTTATTCTCAACGTTTTTCGTAAGCATGCACGAGGGTGTCGATCTTTGCCCACAGCCGCGAAATTGGCAGACGGCTAACAAGGAAAAATTCAAGATCGTCACCAAGCTTTTTCAGGAATTTCTCGATGGCTGCTATAGTAAGTTACATCTTCGTTACCGTTACACAATTCAAACAACGGTATTGTAGCCGAAGAGGATCACTGTGATCGGAAGCTTCCAGACACTCCCACCAAAGACCCGAAAGATTCTGACGGTCTCCTAGCACATCCCAACTCTGACACCGGCATGGCAGAAGGGACGACATTGAACACATCGACCAATGACAAAGGAAAGGCAGTCAAACGGCCTGCCAAGAGCAAACGCTCGGCAGTTCACGACGACAACGGTGAAGTAACCACCGATACAGACTCTCCGGATGGATCGGATCCCGATGATGACCATGACGATCAGTCTACAGCCAATGGGATATGAGAGTATCGCCGTTCTCGTCTCCCCCACTCGGCAGCCCGCCTCACCTACGTCGACCGTCGCACTGGCAATCCTATCACAACCAAGAAAGGCCCTTCCGATATCAATTTTAGGCCTTTTGTTCCTTCCAGCAATGCACAAACCAACGGAACTCTTATCCCGGCTGGGGACGAATCCAGTCGCTCTCCACCACCATCAAATTCAGAACCCATTCCTGAATTAGCAAGTTCGCAGGCCATAGACACACCTCCGTGCCCTTCTGATGCACACACCAACCAAATTCCTATTTCAGTTGGGGCAGAACGCAGTAGATCGGCACTGCCCTCGGATTCTGAACCTCTTCCTGAAGTGGCAAATTCACAGCCCCCTCCCGCGTTCCCTTCAGAACCTCCTACGCAAGTTTTGGAGCTTCAGCCTCCTCCCGCGTCCCCTTCAGAACCTCCTATGCAAGTTTTGGAGCTTCTTCTATCCCCTCGTGTTGACAATGCCGTCTGCTCACTCGCTCAGGACAGTCAGAATGATGACATTGGTGAGTCGTCTACCATGATCGGAGTGTGACCATGATTTAAATCATATATCAGTGCTTCCCACCAATTCCCCTGCCTGGATCCGGGAAGCAATTGAATATCTCACCGCCCCCCAACTTCCCTCTCGATATAATGCTCTACTCACGACTTTTTTAGAGCTTGAGAAGTCTTCTGGATTCTCGTCTGAGAAGGGTACTGCCTCTCTCAGCAGCAAAGATCGCCCACTTGCAATTCACTGGTGGATTTCCCGTGCACGTACAGGCCAGCCGCCTATCCCCGAGAACTTTGGCACGGCATTCTGGAGTTGGTGGTGTGGGATTCAGCCCGCATGGAGGAACATATCGCCATCCGATGAAGTCCCTCGCCATAACGGTAATGATTGGAGTCTTCTCGACAAACCCGGGAAAAACGGCTTCTGGAGTGTATTGGCCGCGCTAAAATGGTGGGGTTGTGCTAACAGTACTGGATGCGACGACCCCCTTTGGCATACAGCTGTAGACGATGTAAAATGGGTGATGGAACGTATCACAGAATTTCGCTGTTCGACCGTTTCCAGGTAAGCAGCTTAGCGTGTTCTGATTAAGTCAATTCAACTGACATGATTTCCAGCCCAGTCAAGAAACGTTCGGCACCAGAACCAAGAAGTCCACGTTTGTCGAAGCATCTCAAATCCAACAGCCGTAAATGTCGTTAAAGTCTGCAACATCGCCGAAGCTCCCTCTAATCCCGATAGATCCGCACCCTGACCTGCATTGAGCTTACATAGATATATTGTAATTTTTTGTTCAAATTAACAGCTTGCACCTGCTCGTTTATGTCATGAATCTCGTTAGTTTTACTATCATAGTACATGAGGCAGTGTAACTAGTAAAACGATCCCCTAATAATCATTTCGCTGATACATCAACTCGCCCAACTCGTAAGCTATCGCGACTTCTGTAACCCCCGACATACTAGCATGACACAAGATGTCATCTAGTTGGGTTACCACTAACCTCATAGACTGACAGATGTCGTTACCTGCTTTCCACTCATCACAAACCCCACACATCTCCAGAATCGTATCCAGCCCTCGATGAACCTCGCAGTGTAGATCCTCGATAGAATTGATAGCGTCTTGAATAGTGGTGATGTCACCTTTTTGGATCGTACGTGTTTCCGCAGCATCGTCAGGAATAGTGTCGAGAAACTTCATCAACACGCCCTGCACGAACTCAGTAGGTGACTTGACAAGCGAGACAAATGCGTCTTTGGTTTCCTTTAAGATGGCAAGACACTCTGCAAGTGTTTGCCTGAAAATAGTTTTGTAAAAATAAAATATACAACCGGCAAACTACATTTAAACTTACGGCTCATCCATCCCCTCTGTCTCGTTGTCAGAGTCAGAGTCATGTGGCTCAAAAAGTTTTGCGACTCGCGTGATGAGTGGGAGGTCGCTCGCTGGTTCATCGTCGCATTTATTGGTCCTTCGGCATCTAGTCTTCGCTGTACAAGGGTGATGCCTTTGAGCATTGATGGCCTCCCTGTGTCTGATAGTATCAAAACCAAGATAATTAATAGTTAGAAAGACTAGGAACAATTCTTTGAGAACTCACCTAGCATAATATTTTCTGCTTTCCTCCCATATAGCATGAATCCTCACATCAAGAGTAGTATAGCGAGGAGAAGGTATTATCATCATGGTCTGTAATTGATGATGGGTGACTTGGACGACGGTTGAGGCGAAGTGTTGAACTTACGAAGCAATCAATACTAATAGCTGGCCATGCAAATGGCAGGACTAGAACCAATTATGGCTCAGTGACATCATGGCCATTACGGTCCTTGAACGACAGTATGACCTGTCAATCTTATCAGCCTAGTATGTCAAGCAGCCGATCGATGTCGCATTCTGTCATGACAGGTGCATCTGGGGATGTTAGAGTAGGATCCAATCTATTGAATTTAGCATGGGATCATTCAGTTGAACAAACGAGAAACCCTTACCTAGCTTTGACCGCAGAATGCATCTCGGTAGGATTGAGGCTTGTTGTGGAAAATGACCACAGAACATACTACGTACCTGGAGTTCGTCTTCTGTTAATGCCCTTCAACGGTTTGAGAGAAGAATCTGTTGTGAGATCATTGCAATGAGTAGATCTGACTATACACTGGCAGAGCAAGTTGCCGATCATCAACACAGATTTGAACTTGCATAGTTGAGTAGATCGGACTACTATGCGATGGAACTCCTCCACCGCCAGAAGCAATAGAAAGTAGATCCGACTAGTATGTAGCGCCGATGTTGTGTTGTGTTGTAAGAACTTGAAGTACAGTAGTGTAGACCTACCACCAGCAATCATGATAGCGCAGTGATTCCGAGTTACTACTACTATGCAGCGCCGATGGGACTCCTCCACTGTGAGAAGCAATAGCCAGTAGATCCGACTAGTATGTAGCGCTGATGTTGTGTTATGTTGTAAGAACTTGAAGCAGTGTAGACCTAGTACTAGTACCAGCAATCATGATAGCGCAGCGATTCGAGTCAAACTTAAAGCTACCGAAGTTCAGCGTTTGAACACCTGAGTCAACATTCGACATAATATTCAATATTCAACGTTACTTTGATGGCACTAACACTCCAGGATCAGTGCGATACGCTAGTAAGTTGACATGCAGACCAGACTTTTGACGTCTGAGTACCAGCAATCATGATAGCGCAGCAATTCGAGTCAAACTTAAAGCTACCGAAGTTCAGCGTTTGAACACCTGAGTCAACATTCGACATAATATTCAATATCCAACGTTACTTTGATGGCACTATGTACACTCCAGGATCAGTGCGATACGCTAGTAAGTTGACATGCAGACCAGACTTTTCAAACGTCTGAGTCAAGTCCGAGTCATGAAGTACTATGCCAGTGCTTCAATCATATTTTGTGATAATCAATACTCAACTGCCATCTGAAACATGCATGCACAGACAGAAAAAAACCTTGCTATGATATTTTACAGCGGATACATGAGCACTTCAGTACAGTATGGACAAACGATTTGAGATATACTCTCGGACTATAGTACTACGAGCCTCAGCCATCCTCCGCGTTAACATCTAAGTCGTCGGTTGGGACTGTGATATACGAAACACCACCTCTTTCCTCGACGTGTATCTCAGGTGAATCCGACTCTCTTTGTCCAAGATACAATTCCTCGAATATCATACTATGGACCATGTTACGAATTGCAGCAGATCCATGATGGTCTTGCAGGAGGCGGAGTACCGCACGAGCAACCAAATCAACTAGCCCAACATCAGGAATTGGCATTGAGAAGACGTCAAAACATACCGCAGCACGGCGGCATACACACTTTTCCAGTGCTGCCGCAAGCCTTCACCTCATCCACAATAAACGAGGTATGTCCGCAGTGTATCTCGCCTAGGGCAAGAGTTAATGCAAGGCGTGAAATAAAGGGAGAGACATACCACAACAGTCACCCTTTGTACAGCAAGATGTGGTTTCCACATCTGCTTCAGCGGGGACATTTTCCACATCTGCTTCAGTGGGGACATTCGCAGGTTGACTGGCAGGCGAAAGTTGAGTCATTGATGGATAAGGACAAGAGTGAGTGTCTGGAGCCGAACGTGAACGCGAGATCCCTTACAAATATGTAAGTCATATTGATGACTCAAAAGTGATGGCATGGTTACTATCAATGAGGAAGTTGCATGGCTAAGCTGGACAGGAGGTAACTGAGGCTTCTTTCTTAGTATTTTACTTGTCATTGAAGAGAACATGACCTATTCGATGGCTCCAGCTGTTGCACCGTTGCCAACAATGGGCACCAAACGAATGTACCACATGTTACGGACTAGGATGGTTCGAGCTTTCCCTAGGCGGATTGCCTAATCTGATAGCGGGCTCGCTATTGGAAAGACGGTGGTCTTCTCTCGAATGAGAGGTTCGGGGGTTCCACTTAAGGTAGCGTCGGCTTTCCTTAAGGTGCGGCTTAGACTGAGTGATTGGGATGATCACACAGAGGAAGTTCTGGTTAAGACCTAGTAGATTAAAGTGAAGGATATCTACTTTAATCGTCTACCTTATATAAGGCTACTCTATCGTATCTAAGCTCAGCTTGAAGCTGGGTTCTAATCTGCTTATCTATCGAGTCAGAGATAGCGTCCATGAGGCATGCTTCTTATCAGCATGAGGCATGCTTCTATCAGTACATGAGGCAACACGAGGCTTGCCTTCTATCTTGATAATAAGAATAGGTCTTCTAGACCTATGTCGTCATAGCGGTCCAGACCGCTTATCTAATCCGGCATCTCCCGGAGTTCTTCTTCTATATCGGTCCTATGTTCTATCACAAGGGCAGGAAAGGCCCGGGTATCGCTTGTAGTCGTGCAGGTGGCAGAGGACAGGGTGGCAAGGGGGCTCATGCAATGTTATTGTAACATTACCCCTCTACTACGGTCAAAGTCACCGACTTTGATTATCTTCAGCGTCTTCCATTGTCAAGGACGGCAGTGCCGGTTTCGTGGGCGTGGAGACGGATGGTGCGGAGGGAGTTTCAGGGTCAAGGGACAGTTCGGTGGGATTCCGAAGTTCTAGGTCCGCGAGCGCCTTGTGGTTGTGCTCCCAATCTAAGAGAGCTTCGAAAAACTTCTCTTCATCTGAAAACTCTTGTAGGACAATACGTCCGTTGAGTTCAGGGCAATGTATGGACAAATGGTTGGGTCCGAGTTCATCGCAAATGCAACAAACATAGTCAGGACATTTCTTCCAATGATGTCCGTATCCTCCGCAGCGCTGGCATAGCATCATGCGGGTACGATCTGTGGCAGCTTTTCGCTTTCTAGGCGGGCGTACTGGACGGATTTCTTCTTCCTTGGCTTTTCTGGTTTCTACAGTTTTAACAGCTTGGTTCACGATGTCGGGGAAGTCAAGCGGGAGTAGATGGAGTGCGAGGCCGCGGATCCGTTTCTGTAAATGAATGATGGCGAGTTTCTTCGTCTCTTCATCAAGGTCAACACGATTGGCTACGTCTTCCAGTAGTTTCGTGGTTCGTATAATGTTTACGGCTAGTGAGGTGCCTGCCGCAAGTCTGGCGTCTAGTTCACCAAGGATATCGTTGATCACTTGGGAGTACGCGGGTGTTAAGATAGCGGTTTCATTGAACGCGCTATTCTCAATCGTTCTGAGGATTCGTCCGTAGTCGGAGTCCTTTAGTGTAACAGTGACGGGAGAGTTTTCTTCAATAGAGGTCGACATGATGGAGGTTCGTTGAAAGGATGTTCGAGGAAGTCAGGGTTTATATTCTCTTCCAGATCGATTCAAGCTCCGTTTGATTCATGCTTATCTTTTGTTTCTTATCTCTTTATCTCCTATCAAGGTTCAATCGTGAGGGCTTATCGATGCCTCGTTTCCGCTATCAGAGGGAAGTTCCGTGATAGGTGCGTTCTTTCCTTTATCCTTTATTGGTTTATCAAGGTTCAGGAATCTTCATCAGAGGGTGCTGGTTGTTGCCATGATGAGTTGGGTTCTTGAGGGTTCCGTGGGCTTGCAGGAGTTTCCATGGAGTTCATCTCTTGATAGTTTAGGCTCGTTCCGGAGGTTCTTCTTCTTCTTCTATCTTTTGTTAGATGTTCACATCAGATATCGAAGGTTCTATGCGCGGGATCCGCGGGGGTCTTCTTATCCTTTCGTTTTAAGATCGTGGTTCTTATACGCAGGTGTTATCGAAGAGATTCGTGGATAAGGGGTTCCGAAGCTTGCAGGAGTTTTCCGGAGTTCGTCCTTTGTCCGATAGTTTTACGTCATCTCGGACGTGCATAGTTTTAGGTCGTTGCGGACCATGGCGAAGGTAAGGCATCCGGGGCTTGCAGGAGTTTCTCGGTGGTTTAGTCTTTGTCTTCAAGATGAAGGGGTCCGTATCTCCGGGTTCGTCCTTCTTCGTGGATAGTTTCAAGTCATTTCGGACTTCTGCGCAGTTTATAGTCGTGCCGGACTTATGTACAGTTTATAGTCATGCCGGACTCGGTTACAGTTTATAGTCATGCTGGACTCTGCATAGTTTTAGGTCGTTGCGGACCATGCATAGTTTTACGTCATCTCGGACGTGCATAGTTTTAGGTCGTTGCGGACCATGCGATTGTCGATATTTATAGATAGGGTGCGGCCGGGGTGAGGGGAATTAAGTGTAAAATGAGAATTTCACCCCCCAAGTAAGCCGATTGATCACCGATCAATCTAAAAATCTAAATCAAGGTTTCCACAGTCAGGGTCGGACTGATCCGTGACTGGTGCGATCTCTCCCTGGAATAATCTAACATCCACAGGGTCGTCCTGGCGGGGACATTGTCTTGCGATACGCTTTATCGTTCGCTGGAAGTAGTTCTGCGGTTTAATCCGATCTACTTCCATCGGAGTCATCGCGGGTTCTTCTGCTATGGCAGGGGCCGCGGAGGAGTTATCAACGATTATCTCATCGTTATCTTCATCGTCAGTGTCTTCTATCATTTCCTTATCGGCCAGTGTGGGTACGAGGAATGGGCGAGTGACTGGTACTGTTCTCGATCGTTCTGGTAAAGTAACGATCGGCTCGGCTCGGTTGATCCATTGATCAGCGGCCGGTTCATCTTCTGCTAGTTTATACTCGTGGCGGAGTTTCTTTGGTGACGGCGCTTCTGCCGTGACTACCGATCTTCCTTTTCCAAGAACCGAAGCAGGTTCTGCTGAAAAGACGTACTTCTGAGTTTTCTTCGGTTCAGGGGCCGGTCTAGGGATCTTTGCGCGAGGAGGTTCCTCGTCGAAAGTGGCTCTGCCTTTTCCTAAGATCTGGGCAGGTACTGCAGAAAATCTATATTTGTCTGCGGGAGGTGAGGTGGCAACTAAGTCCGACTGTCTTGTGGACTTCTTCTCGACGTTCTGGGATGTCGAGGCGTGGGGTTCCAACGGCTTGGTAGCCGGTGCATATTCGAGGATTTTGTGGAGTTCCTCAATCGGGTTTAATGTCGGATGGAATTCCGGTTTTCCCGAAGTTAGTTTCGACTCGTCTCGGAGATCTTCCATCGGCGAATCAGCCGGTTCTGGTAGTTTAGCCTCATTTCGGAGGTTCTGCGTGACAGGTACTTCTGTCAGATCTAGTTTATACTCATCTCGGAGTTCTTCCTTCTTCTTCGTTAGGATGACTACCTCCCTTCTTTGGCGCGTGTTTCGCGTCTTCTTTTCTTTACGGAAGGGCGGCTTCAATCCGTTCCTCTTCCTACCTCTCTCAATCATTTTCTCAAGTCCTTTCGACTTGTCAGTGGCAGGGATAGTTACCGTGCCTTTCTTCCAATCTATGGAGGGTTTCACAGCGGCCAGCCATGTGAATCCGAGTAAGATGTCGTCTAAGCGCGGCATTATGAGGAATCGTCCGTGCATTACTCGGTCGTCGATCTTTATGATGAGTCGGCAAAATCTTTTGACGTTGCCTCCTATCGTTCCATCTCCGTTCATTACCTTCTTTGGTTTCTGCAGGAGGTGCGTTCTTATGCGATATTTCTTGCAGAGTTCTCTGCTGATGAATGAGTCGCATGCGCCCGAGTCTATGACCATGGTGGTCGTAATGGGCGGTTTAGTGATGGACATGAGGGTGGCGGCAACCCGTAGTTCCTTCTTCTTGGATACGCTGTTTTTGTCAATTATTAACAGCGGTCCAGTCTTTTCCTTACCAGCCGCTGTCTTGCGGACTGTTTCTTCTTCGATAATCTTTCTCCTCATCGGGCACTTGTGGTCGTTGGCTTTGTGTCCAACGTGATGGCAAGAAAAGCATCGTCGTTGCTTCAGGTGGTGTCTTGTATCCATTCCTGAAAGGTTGGCGGCGGCGTCGGTATTTCTTTTGATCATCATGATCTGTGTCGGTGCGTTCATGGTAGAGGGAGTAGTGCGAAGGGACAGTGATAGGCTTAAGGATTCAAAGCTTCGTACGTCTGTCTTGACAATTTGTGGATAGCTTTACGCCGGTCTTGGCGATTTGGTCACGAGAGTAGAGGTCTACGCTTGTCTCAGCGGTGCGGTCGTTATCAATTCAACGGCGGTGCGTGATGAGCAGGGCCGGGAATGTGAGACTTTAATCTTTTGTTACGGACTAGGATGGTTCGAGCTTTCCCTAGGCGGATTGCCTAATCTGATAGCGGGCTCGCTATTGGAAAGACGGTGGTCTTCTCTCGAATGAGAGGTTCGGGGGTTCCACTTAAGGTAGCGTCGGCTTTCCTTAAGGTGCGGCTTAGACTGAGTGATTGGGATGATCACACAGAGGAAGTTCTGGTTAAGACCTAGTAGATTAAAGTGAAGGATATCTACTTTAATCGTCTACCTTATATAAGGCTACTCTATCGTATCTAAGCTCAGCTTGAAGCTGGGTTCTAATCTGCTTATCTATCGAGTCAGAGATAGCGTCCATGAGGCATGCTTCTTATCAGCATGAGGCATGCTTCTATCAGTACATGAGGCAACACGAGGCTTGCCTTCTATCTTGATAATAAGAATAGGTCTTCTAGACCTATGTCGTCATAGCGGTCCAGACCGCTTATCTAATCCGGCATCTCCCGGAGTTCTTCTTCTATATCGGTCCTATGTTCTATCACAAGGGCAGGAAAGGCCCGGGTATCGCTTGTAGTCGTGCAGGTGGCAGAGGACAGGGTGGCAAGGGGGCTCATGCAATGTTATTGTAACACCACACCTACCGGGCTGATTCAAGTGACGACGAAAATACGAATCTTGCTCATTCATGTATGGTATGGTTGACAGCTGATCAGCGCAGACAGTTAACAATGCCAATCTCCCCAACGAAGCTACAGGCGAAAGGTATGCAGAATGATGAGCAAACAGCATTCTTCATGGAGGACTGGGAGCCTACTTTGGACATTGAGGCTGGCTGGAGTGAAGATGAACGCGGGGAGCACGACGGTCAAGAAATCATCGACAAACCCTTGGTCAAGCATTACATAAATTCGGTAAGTCATTCGGGCAAGATTCTAAATGATAGACTCACTGTATCCTGCATAGGATTCTCCATTACAAGAGTGGATGGGATATGACGGGCGTCCCGGTTATCGAGAGGAGTTTCTCCTTGAAGATCTGCGACTAGAGGGTCGTGGTAGTGCAGGACTGCTCGGCTGCTCATGCAAAAGATTGGATGAAAATAACCATCCAATACCAAGCTTATTCCGGTGCGAGGAATGCTTTGGGTGTGACATAGTTTGCCAGGAATGCTGCCTTGATCGCCACAAGCGCTTGCCATTGCATGTCATTAACGTCAGTAATTCAGGTTATAGTGAGCTCAACTGATCTTGCCTAACAGAAATGGAACGGTCAATATTTTGAACGTACATCATTGAAGGACATAGGCCTGCGTGTGCAGTTAGGACACTTGGATATGACATGTGCATGTCCTGTGCGTGGACATAGAGATTTCATTGTGTTGCATGTCAACGGAATTCACCGCGTGAACATTGACTTCTGTGCATGTGACCAACGAATTTCTCACCGCCGACAGCTCATGCAATGCGATTGGTTTCCCTCGACAGTTCATCAACCTCAAACAGCGTGCACCCGTCGACTTCTCGAGCACTTCTTACTGCTTACGTGGTCTAGTAAAGTCTCCGCTTTCGAGTACTACCAAACTTTAGAGCGTCTGACAGATAACACCGGTATTTCTGTTCCAAAGGTGAGCCGTCATTCGCCTTTTGGCAGTTAAATACTTAAGTGTTTCGTTTAGAGTCGCTATTCAGTGTTTATGCGGATGGTCCGGGAATATCGCCACATTTTACTCTTGAAGCGAGGTGGGCGAGGGCATGTGGAAAACGGAATCGCTGATGTACAACCAGGTGAACTCGCGTTACATTGCCCTGCATGCCCACATCCTGGAATTAACCTACCGAGAGGTTGGGAGACCGTAGACCCCTCCCTAAAGTGTGTATTTCCTTCTTCAGAGTACATAATAATAATGTCTCACTTTGATAGGTTCCTCTACTACTTAATTATTGCCATGGACGCCAACTTTCGTCTGAAGAACAGAACTCGATTGTCGGATTTGGTGGACCCCGGCATGCATACCGGTCTTGCATATTTTGTTGCAACTAAGCCCTACAGTGCCCATGTGTTGAAATTTGCCTCCCAGAAAGATGTACGTCCACACTGAAATTCATGCGCTAACCAGTTCCTCTAACTCTAACATACACAGGTTAGTACATGCAGCGGATTTAGTGCTCTGGCACATGCTGAGTCAAAATTCTTGAACGGACTACGGGCCACAGGCGTCGGACTCTGCCTATGTGCACGTCATGAATTCGTGCGCCCCAAAGGGGTGGGTGATCTGCAAAAGGGCGAACGGTGAGATTCTAATCGACTCGTGGGTTCTGTTCACTTACGTGCAACTAGCTTCTGCAACATGGATTTCATTTTTTTTTCAACTATCATCCCCCTTCTTCTTTTGAACGTCGTCATCTCCTACGATATTGCTTGTCAATGGAAAATCCACCTCCTCGACAGGATGAACAAACTTCCCGAGAATATGCGTATACCTGTCGCAGTCGCAACAACATCGTTCATGTTTGGGATCCCAAAGTTTCATGCCAGTGCCCATGACGACAGCTGCTCTATTCCACATTCGCTCAACCTCATGCCAGGAGTAGGGCGAACAGATGGAGAAGGCGTTGAACGGAATTGGGCGGAGATGAACCGAGTCGCAAATAGCACGAAGGAAATGGGTCCTGGTGCCCGACATGATACCCTGGATGACCATTTTGGTCATCATAATTGGCGTAAATTTGTTGGCCTTGGTAAGCCCTTAGTAGCGCCGTCTCATTGGGTCAAATACTGATATAAATCTTACTAGGTCTTTCATTACGAAAGAGACTCGTAACTGCGGTCAAGGAACGTGATTGTCAACAGGCTGCATTTCAAGAGTTCAATCTCGCAGTTGGCACAGCATACCAGAACCAGTGGACTGCGATGGCCGAGAGCTGGGAGGCGGACAAGACACAGCCAAACCCATTCACAAACAAAGAACGTGGTGCGCCCTTTCATTTATTTAACACGACCGTATATTTAATGTACATTTTAATTGTTTAGGTGTATCTGAAGCTGATGTACGCGCCCACTTTGCTGAGCAGGATAAGACTGCTGCTATGGATGGAAGATTTCACCATCACAACATGAGCCCGAGCGTATTTATTGCATGGGGTTTATCATTAGAAGACTCGCAGTACGTATCTCTACATTTTCGAATGAGATATTCCTGATGATCTATGTAGAAGACATCTACACTTTGAAATAACTGATGGGACGCTGTCCTCATATCACCAAGCAGAGTTGCAACGGCGCCGGACTTCACTTCTTAAACAAATCCATCGATTTCGGTCCGTGCAGGCCATCTACATGGTCGATTTAGAGAATCTTCTGGAGCAGAACGATGACGGCTCTTTGGTAGAAGCCGAAAACACCATTCTCTTGCTGCCATCCAGCATAAGCGCTGCGATTCGGACGTTGACTTGCCATGATGATATTACCTGCATAGAAGAGAAACTTCGCGACGCTCAATGCCACGACTGTCTCCACAAACTCCGAAATGCCCTGCGTGCCAGAGTTCATCTCATCAAACATAGGAATAGGGAAACCCGTGGTCAAAGGGCCAACACCCATGCAGCATCCATAATTGGTCGCTTGGAGGGCAAGATCAAGATGATAGCTGAGAAGTATCGCACCGCTCACGAGTGTTTGATTGCGTTACGGGGGCATGGTCCATGGGAGGGTGAACTGCGACCTCTCAATGCTCATGATGTTCGGGGCCCGAGTGAGGATGTCGGATCACTAGAGAATCCCTCTGATATCATTGGACCCAATGGACGTAAATGGACCAAGAAGCAGTTGGCTGCTGCCAACAGACGTCTCGGACAAGGCTTCATGCAAGTCTCGTGGATATGGACTTCGGTTGGCGTGTTAGGGGATGACGACAATGCCGGTTTGAATGACGGTGAGTGTTTTGATACTGTATGTTTTCAACAGTTCCTCGTTATCTGATTCATTCAACCATGGCAGCACTCCGTGTGGAATGGGTGAAAGCCCGTGCACGTGCCCTACGCTGGAATGAAGAAGTTTTACTCCTGAAGGAAGAGATGTGGCGCACACGTACTTATCTTGAGTGGAAAGCCAGGTGGTGGGAGAATCATGCAAAATTTGCAGTGGACGACAGCCTATTATCAGAAGGTATTGCAGCGTATGCTTTTCGGCAAGCAGCGCTGCAGCGTAGGCTTTCCATTTCATTTCTACAGCTCTGGTCTACTTCATTAACGACAAACCAGGTTCATACTTCCCAGTCGAATGCTGATGAGGACGAGGACATTGTCATTGATGACGAGGACGAGGACGTTGTCATTGATGACGAGACCTATGACGATGCGGAGGATGATCTGGAGGATTGAAAATTTTTGAGACCGAATTTGGATATGTCATGCTGGAATAGTATTTGTCGCCTGCTCCTAAATATTGATATGTCGCGCTTGAATAAGATTTGTTGCTTGGTCAATAAACACCGATTTAGGGTTAAACCATAAAATATATTTGAAGTGTATAATGAGAAAAACAGAATATAGAGCAATATAAAGCTGCAGTACACCCTGACTAAGCCACCCAACGAGAAAAACAGAATATAGAGAAATATAAAGCTGCGGTACACCTTGACTAAGCCACCCAATATGGGTGGTGGTTACAAGCCAGGGAAATGGGCATTGGCCCCGGGTGGTAGTAACCAGGCATTCTGGAATGTCCGCTGATGGCTATTACCATATAACAAGGGCAAATACTACAACAAGTGGTGCGCAAACTCATATACAGAGCGATAGTTTGCGTGTCCGAGACACCTATGCCAAGTCTCCAAAGTGGGTGTGCGATGAGCGATGAAAGCGTGATCTGCAGAAAGTTGGCCACCGGAGATGGTGTAGAGCCGGCGAGAGGTGAGTGAACCCGTAAGCATGCGCGTACCACTGCGAGCTTGGACCCAGCAGGAAGTGGCGTCGAAAGACGCAACACATCGCTGAGACGGAGAGAAGGCGTACAGTAGCGTTGGGAATGAATAACACATGTTCGAGGGTCAAGTGGATTCCCTTAGCTACGATTAAACGGATAGTACCGATCCTGATAGCCTGAATAGAGGAGTTTCCAATGCCACTGACGACACGTGGGGGAATGGGACGAAGGGTATAGAAGTCCGCTTCGACGTTGCTGATATGTACTGATGCCCCGCTGTCCAAGAAGAACGGGATGATAGACGGGTCGACGGGTGTGCGAGCACGTTGATTGGGTGCTTTGTAGGTAATGCCAGCAAAGTTGACCTCTTTGGAATGGCTACGCCAGTCGACACTCGTTTGGAGGTCGATGGCGGCGAACAGTGCATCATAGGCATTGTCGGGCAGTTCCTCAATAAACACAGAGCTGGGACTGTCGAAGGCAAGTCCTGCGAACTCCTTGGTAGGTGTAGTAGTACCAGAGGGAGCTAATGGTGGCGCATTAGCCACGAATATAGCCTCGTGGGTTTCAGCATCGAGGAGGTAAGCGCGACCAGAGGTGTCATAACGTAGTCCACCCGGTTTGCCGGTGGAAGCACCTTTGGTTGGGCGGGAGGTAGAAGTGCCCGAAGGCTTGGTCGTTGTGTTAGAATTACTACTACCTCCTCCCGCTTGTGCTGCGCGACGTTTCGTGATGACATCGTCCTTCTTGCCTTCCATGGCACCCCCTTTACCATAGCAGTCCTTGGTTGAGTGCCACCAGCCTCCGCACGTGCTGCAGCAATTTGTGTGCGTGGTTTGACTGCAATTGGGACAAGGAGGGCGACCACGGGTAGGTTTACCCTTGTTCGACATGAGCATGGCCACATCCCCAGAACCTTTCCCTTTGTCGTTGTCGACGAGTTGTTGCTCGAGTTTGAGACGGGTACGGATATTGGTGGGACCATAGGGAGCGAAGGGGGTGCTAATGACAATGGCATCTGCAACGCGATTACGCACGTGAGGAAGGTCTTCGCTCATAGCATTGAGCATGAGGATGGTGAGGAAATCTTCCTCCTTGGGGATACCGATGGCATATATGCGTCTTGCAAGGTCCGTAAGCTGAGTGCTGGTAAGGGCAAAGCATTCAGAACGTCGGTAGCGTAATGCGAAGGCTTGTTGAATAAGGAGGATCTGGGCGATAGGGCCTACTTGCTCGTGGCGTGATTTCAAGGCCGTCCACGCAGCGGGTGCTCAGTGCTGCAACAATACAAAGATTGTTGAGGTCCCATGTAGTAGCACCGGTAGGATCCAAGGTTTCGTCTGGACGTGTGATAACGCCGAGGAGGTACCCTCCCCCATGCTTAAGAAGTAGGTAATTACGTATCTTAGCAGACCATGTCCCCCAGTTGTTCTGGCCACGATCGAGAAGCTCAATCTTTTCGAGATCGGTGTGGCTCAGAGTAATGGCGGCTATCTTCAAGCTTGTTGTTGTCATGGCAGCAGCAGTCGTTCTGGCTCCACGTATAAGGGGAGTCTTAGGAGTGGAGGCGTGAGTGGAAGCTGGGATAGCAGGCACAGAAGAAACTGGTCTGGGGATACTAGAATTGGTGCTGTTTGAGCGTAAATGGCACTTGGACATGCCGGATAGTGACGGTGGGAAGAGAAGGGGCGAATGAGAGAATCGTAATCTTATTCTCGCTATTTAAGTCGTTCAATGCTTCGTATTCGAAGATACTTCTCGCTCGAAGAGGAAATATGCGACGTTTCGATGACGTTGATAGAGTTGGCGTGTAACACTGCACGCCGGCAGCATTATAGTCCCGGCGGGTGTCTGACAAAGTCTAGAAGGTTTCCGCTCGCTCGGTTTTACGAGTGAGCAGGGCTCATAACCTATAAGGGCTAGACACAAGAGTCAGACCTCAGTCGTAAGATAACGGACTGTATTAGTAAGTACCTAGACACAAGAGTCAGACTACGTAGTGTCGTTAGTCTAGGTATCGTATGAAGGAACGAAGTGACATACCCTCAGTCATAAGATAACGGACTGAGGAAAGAGGGAAAAGTGAAAGTGAACCATTATATAGCAGACTGAATTCCTGTCGTATACTCCGCTAGAGTGTATTGTGTTGTCGTGTGCACGCCAGTGCGCCAATATATTCCTGAAAGAAAGAGAGAAGTTACATTGACCTAACACTCGACGATTGATACAACTCATGCTGGCACTTGCATCAGGATGTATCCCACATAAAGGATGGATAATATTGTAGCATATTGATTCCCCTGCAGGTGCAGGTCTTGCTCAAAAGTTCCCAATCGTGCACTACTATGGATAACATGAGACGCCATACAAAGCAAGTATGATGACACACGACTTACCTAGCATTCACTCTGTCGACCTACCCATGGTATGCAGTAATAAGTACGAAGGTGACATACCAATAGAATTCAGCGACAGCTCAGACTCACAAAGTTCAGTGCATACAAAACAATGATTAAAGACATATATAAATCGAGCTTTCTTAACAATCTTCTCTCGAGCTCATTGCAGGCTTGGCTGGGTATGCCAGGGGAAAAGTCATTGTGCATGTACTCGGCCACTTTTGCATGACTGAGAGTAGTCATTGTTCAGAAAATGAAACCACAACAGGAAGAGTTTGGAACTCTCTTCTTGGTGACACTAGGTAAGAAGAATGGTACGAATCTTGCAGCCACAATGGAGTTATCTGAAAAGTTGGTTAAATATTGACGGGGTACTGGTAACTGCATACATGCGCGACCCCCATCACAAACTCACCTTGTATCTTACTTCGCCGTTAGAAGAGACAGATGATGTCGTCGTGTGGTGGGGGGTAAGTTGTTTTTTTATTCACACATTCTCAACTGACATTATTCATTAGCTACACTCACTACAGTATCCGACACTCGCTCGTATTGCCCGCGATTATCTACCAATTCAAGGTAGTGCGGTTCCCTCTGAATGCGCTTTCTCTAGCAGGGGAATCACATCAACCTTGCACCGCAATGCACTTGCATCATCCACCTTCTCTGCTCTACAGTTAATGAAGGCCGCTTACCGTAATGGACATCTTTCGGCAGCTACAGAGGCAGAGGGGTATGCACAAATTTTATTAGACTAGTTACTCAATGTGTAGCTAGTATTTCGTCAATTATTTTTTGCTGTCCCTATAGAAAAATTTACGGTTCGGTTCGAGTTTGGACCACAAAAAAACCAGACCGGACCGTTGAGAACGGTTCTCAATGGTCCGGTTCTGGGTTCGACGATTTCGCTGAACCGAACCGTTGGTCCGGTTCTTGGTTCTTGTTGAAGACCCTCTGAACCGGACCGAACCGGACCATGGCAGCACTAGCTACACTTCAACATTACCTGGCGATACGTGGCAGCGGAGCTCAGTGGAGCAAGATTGATCACGAAAACTGGCACAACCCCATTGGGGGATAGATATTAATGACACCTTCGCCGCGCGTGATGAAATTCCATACCTCTGAAATGATGTTGACAAGGTAATTAGGAACGGGTGACGATGTCGATTCAAGTGACTAGCTCTCCTTAGTCCAATATCACTGACAACTGATCATCAGCTGCGGCTCGCGCAGGACTTGATTCAGAATAGTTTCTCCAATTAAAGTCTATTCCATAGTCAGGTTTGTAGGTGTCATGGGGCGCAGAGTCATAATTTTGGCACTCCGGGGTTACGGACAGCACCTTATTACTAGCATGAAACATTCGATTCGACAGGGCGTGTCTGACCTTATTCCATATAATCAAAGTCAAGTACGAGGATATGACATGTGCAGGTTTGTTTGCTGTCTTCCTGGTTCAGCACCATGAGCATGAGCTGTCACATAAAAGATCGCTGGTGGGAACTGTCGGAGACCAAGGCTATTGTATGTAGAGTCATCATTCATGTAGATCACGGTCACCTGAATGGCTTTGGGATGGTTCAATGATGATGGGAATTTGCAATTGAATGTCCTCAACGGTTCAACGTTCGAACGTTCAGGGTGAAGGTACACCGTCACGCATCTGTATTTTTTCGTGTGACTGTCACACAAAATGGAAGGTAAATTGTGACATTACGGTAAAACATGAAAGTTGTTTCCAAAATTTTCTGTACTGAGTACTTGAGCATTTGCCATGGCATCTGCGCTTTCCACAACCAAAATTCTCTTCACCATCCTAGCTGTGAGCTCTTGCTGACGGCAGCTGGTAATTCGAAGCTATTTCTGAGGTGCAACATTCTCGCCTTCAACTTCTTGAAGCGCTCGGCATCGGTCACACCCGGATCTAAGTGCGTATCATGCATGCGTTGCTGTCTGAACTAAAATAAGATTCTTTAGTCTTCTGATATCAATTGCGATACCTACAAAAAACCACGAACAATTGGCTAGAATTTTGTCGTTTGAATTCATCAACATAAGTTGGGAGGGGAGGGAAAGACAAGCAACACAGCACGAGGTAATAGACGCAATAGCTACCGAGCCGCCGGTTATGTGTGCCTGTCCTGAGGTTCTGCCAAGGACAGCCATTGACGTTGAAAGAATCCAAATGCACAGCCAATCGTTGCTACTACAAGTGTTGAACTGCGGCCTGCGCATCGGCAGACACGTAAGGCTCCAAAGCGTCACTGACAGTCATCTAAGTTCTCTGAACTTCCCATCATGTCTCTGATCCAAGTCTGCGTACTGGGTTCGTTCTCTTTCGCACTCTGCAAGGCCCTCGCATTCCTACTACAACGAACACACGGCATCGACCTCGATGGACCCAACAGAGGGAATTGGTTGACAGGTATGTTCTAAGATCAGTCCTGATTGACATTCGACTACCCCGTCTGACATGTACATAGGCAATATCATGTCCCTCTTTGAAGGTGGTGTTGACTATTGCGTGCATATTGCAGAGAAATATGGTGGAGCAGTGAGGCTCTATGGGCCGCTAGGCGTGAGTCGTCCATTTGACTAGTGCACATCACCTTCCACGCACCTGCGTCATATAGGAGATCGTATATGTGTCTGACCCACGCGCATTGTATCACATTGTCGTCAAAGACCAGCACATCTTTGAAGAACCCAACCAATTTATCATGTCAGTATTCTCTTACTTTCTTATACTGAATTGACTCGGTACTATCAAGGTCAAACAAACTTGTTTTTGGTGAAGGCCTGATATCCACCATTGGTGAGGTACATCTCTCAAAAATATGTTCTTCTTTTAATACTGTGTATCACCAGGAGAGCAACATCGTCGGCAACGCAAACTTCTTAACCCTGTCTTCTCAACGTCAAACATGCGACGACTCCTCCCCACACTACACCCCATCTCCGACAGACTCACATCTATCCTCGCGTCCAAACTTCCCGCTGACGGATGTACGTACTACGATGTCGCACTCTGCACATAATCTCCATTGATAGTTCGTGCAGCTCATAAAGAGATCGACGTCCTCCCATGGTTATCGCGTTGCGCTCTTGACGGTGTCTGTCAAGGTATCCTTGGGTACCCCTCCAACACCCTTTCAGCAGCAGAAAATGATTCGTACGCGGAAGCATTGCGGAAGATCGGGTACGTCTGGTCATTTTGGTGCCTCAACTCAAATGTACAATAATGCATTGCAGCCCCTTGATCGGAAAGCTCATGAAGGTACGGTCGATCACGGCGTTTGTAATGCAAAACTGCTCCCCATATTGGGCGAGGAAAGTGCTTGATTTGGTCACGGTGCCCTGGCTCCCAACGCAGTATATGGCAGACATACGGGAGATGCGACGCATTGTAGAAACAATGGATAGTGCCAGTCGAAAGGCGTTTTTGGAGAGAAAGGCAGCCATGGAAGCGGAAGAAACACCGGACCTTATTGACACTGCGTGTAGAGACAACGATTCGATGACGTCGATGATGGATATCATGCGTGAGTTCCATGGGTAATCCAGAACATCCTCGCTCAAGTATAATGCACAGTAAAGGCCAATGCAGTGTCATCTAACACAGAACGGCTTACAGATGCTGAGTTGTTGGGACAAATGAAGTAGGTCTTAACGTTCTTCCGCGTGTTGAAGACATCGATCAATATCATTGCAGCGTCATGGTATTTGCCGGCCTCGATACGACCACCTCTGCGCTTGCCCGCTGCATCTATTTGCTTGCGCAACACTCCGGTGCTCAAGCGAGACTCAGGAGCGAGATCCGCGACGCCACCAAGATACTTGAAGAAGACGGTGACATGCCATCCGCAGAATTGCCTTTTGACGTCCTTATGAGCCTACCTTTCCTCGACAGTATCGTCAAAGAGACCCTCCGTCTCTATCCGTCTCTTCCAGTCATGGCCCGAGCGTACGTCCCCCTCCCTCCCTCCCATAAAGTTATGCATGACGCACTACAGAACGTCCAAAGCAATAACCCTCCCTTTGCAATTCCCCGCGCGTTCCCGGTCGGGTGGATACACGTCCGCCGTCGCGATCCCGGAGGGCACCGTTACAATCATCTCCATCCTCGCTGCGAATCGCCACCAAGGGTTGTGGGGTGCTGACGCAAATGAGTGGCATCCTGAACGGTGGCTTTCATCCCCTCTTACTGCTCCCTCACAAGCACAAGAGGTAAAATATTCTATGGATGGGGAAGATACTGTATCCATGTCGAGATCTGCGCCTGTTATGGGCGTCAAGGATGGTGTGCGGTTTCCTGGTGTGTACTCCAACATGTGAGTACTCATAGCGCTTTCCCATCAAAGCTTATGAGCTTAAATGCACATAGGATGACGTTCCTCGGCGGTAGCCGCTCCTGCATGTCAGTTTTCAATCCCTCCCATGACATACCCCATTAATCGGATCCCAATTTTAACAGCGGGTTCAAATTCGCAGAAATGGAATTAAGTGTGTCCATACCTTCGTGTGCCTGTGTTAAAACTAATGCTCCTGACCAGAACAAGTTATCGCAACGCTCGTGCTGCGTTTGCACTTCTCGCTCCCGACGGAACCGAATACACAAGGTCACGTGAAGGAGATTCAATGGAAGCTACAAGCATTTCATATTCCTGTGGTGAAGCCCCCCGCTGGGGATGGCGTAACGCCACAGGTGCCGCTGAATGTGCGGCTGGTGAAGAAGGATGATTTTATTTGGAACGCTGTTGTGTGATGTGGTGATGCCTACGCGCCTATTGCTTATCCCGCGGATTATTCCCCGCAATGTAATGCTTCGCTGTCAGTTATGATGTTCACGTGAACAACTTTTTTCTTCATTTTCTATCATACATCTTGTCATAGTACACTCGGCTGTCGATCGTATATATAGGTCTACTGCATAAAATCATGCTATCCCCACTCCGCTACATAGTAGTTTCGCCTATCAGTACTTATTTGATGCGAGAGTCGCATGGGTCGCTGACTACACCAGATATCTAAAACCAACAGGGTCCGGAAGTTCGTTGATATCCTTTACATCTTGCTCGTTCCTCTCAATCTGCGCATTCACCCACTTCAAATGCAAATGCATGACACCAATCATGGCTGTCGCCACCCCAAGCGTTGCGATGCATATGGCGTACGAATGACGATATGTCGGGCCCCAGTTGAGAGGCCAGAGGAACCTATGAGGGATATAGATTATAAATACTCAGCGAGAGCAGCGACGGGACTAACGGTCCAGCGATGCTCCCCACCGAAGACAATCCACTGATCACAGCGATAGCGACAGCTCGCTTTGCGGGTTCTCTGGCGAAAGTATTCTTTATCCATGCCCAAAATACCATTTGTCCGCCGGCGTTTTGATTCATCAGGAACCTGCACGTCTTTGAGTACGCAAGGCATCGTTCTATAGGCGATGATACCGCTTACAGGGAAATATAGCGCGCGGCCGTGTTCATCGTACAGAAGGACATGATGAATCCGACGGCAGCCAATGCATTGGATGCAATGATAAACATGGCACGCTTTTGCGTACGGTCAGAGTACCTGATCGTCTATGAGAAGCGATTCGAGATAATAAAAAATAGTTTACCTTGAAAAAACAAAAGCGCCAATCGTGGCGAGCACTGATGGAGGAATGACGAGCATCAAAGTCACCGTCATATCATATCCCATACTCGCGACGAGCGTCGGGAAATAAACGCCGTATGACAGCGCGATACGTTCGATGGTGAGAAAGATTGTAAACCACCATACCTTCCAGTCGCACAGAGCATCCCGCAGTCCTTGTATGGACGTCCGTGTCCCAGGCCCGTCCATTCTTCCATACCCATCGTCTGCAAGGCGAGAGATAGCGAGTGATCTTTCCTCCGGAGTGAGCCATTTGGTGTTGTGAGGAAAGCTAGGGAGTATGAACATCGCATTGATCGCGACTATGGTCGTGATGCCACCTTCGAGGTAAAACAACCACCTGCAGACATGTCAGCTTCAAAAATGACGTATATGAACGTATCTCGCCTCCATCCGGCTTGACCCAGTATTCCCTGCATGCCTGTAAGTACACCAGATGCAAACAGGGATCCGAACGCAGTGCTAAGCACGCTTCCAAAATTAATGAGTGCCACTCTCACAGCGAGTTCGTCTCGCTTATACCATCCTGATATAAGAAACATGATGCCAGGGAAGAAAGGTGCTTCGGCGAAACCAAGGAGTAAACGGGCGAGAAGAACCTGAGTATAACTTGTGCCGAACTATCAGACGCCACAATGACGAACAATGAGAATGCGTACTTCTGTGTGAGCCCTGGGTACGGTCAGCATTCATGGTCATGAGTGGCCGGTGTCGACAAACCTGTTAATATTGATATTATACCCCATATCACCATACTCCATGGAATCAGGATAGCAGGTCTCTCTAGCCAGTGCAGAAACATGTTCCTGAAAGAAAATCACAATAAAATTTCCCTCAACGAAGGATGCAACTTACGCTGGCACTTGCATGATAATGAATCCCACATAGGTGATAGACAAGAGCGTCGCGTATTGACTCCCCTGCAGGTGCAGGTCTTCCTCAAAACCTGCCAACCGTGCGCTACTGTGGACAACATGAGAAACATATAAAACGAGTATGAGGATGCGTAACATACGTGATATTCGCTCTGTCGACCTAACCAATGGTAAGCACCAAGTAATACAGAGCTCGGACTCACATTGTTCATGGTATACAAAAGCACGATGATGGACATACGTTGATCGAGCTTCCTCACTAATCTCTTCTCGAGATCATCGCGGGAATGGCTGGATAAGCCAGGAGAAGCATCAGTCGTTTCCAATTTCTCATCGGCGAGAGACATCGTTCAAAAAAAAAGCACACCAAGAAGGGTCGATAAGGCTCTTCTTTGCGATATGCAGGTGAGAAACGAAGGTCGATGACGGTGCAGAATCCACTGGAGCGGGGAGCTGATTTGATTCGTCTGGTACAGTCATCGATTAAATATTGACTGGCACCCAATGAGGTACCTTGAGCAATTTGATGCTTGGGTCCGTGTCTATTGTAAGCATTGATCATGTGCGAGGCATGCGAGTCAGCCGACAGCGTTATGATAGGACAGTCTTACATAGGGAGGAATGAAGCTGATGGTAGAACCTGGCATAACGGTATTGGGTAGTGTAGATCAGTAATCTAGGCCGGGCATCCCTGAGGCCTTAATCTGACACGCTCCCAAGTGTGAATATTCCCAAGCTGAGTAACAGTTCCAGGAAGTATTATTTGCCTTTGACTTATCATGCAGGGGCATTGGCTTCTGTTGGCTTCTCAGAAACCCGTCATGATCCAAGTGCGGGTGGGTATTGATGTCATCTTTGGCTTTACGTCAATGGGCGTATTTTTAGTCGGAACGACGTACCGAGGATAGATTCACTCCTGTCACGCTACCTGCTCACCCCAATTCGACAAAAAACTTTGTGGAGCTGCCATGTGACAGCGATGCTTCGCGCCCGATTAGCATGCTATGCAGATGTGGAGTGTTCTATGTGGCATAAAAAGTTATCCGGGCCCTTTTTGCATTGGAACATTTAAACACACAGGATGCGCTAGGATTTGCGGGAAGTCTTCGGAAGTCAGTAGTGCGTGAGCGGAGCTGGTTAATTAAGACGGCCACAAACCAGTGTCAATAGAGCGGAGGTCGTGAGTGATGCATATTGAGAGCCGGCCGCGGACGCCATGGCGCGTTTGCGGGAGATGTCGCAAATTGAACGAGGTTTTGGAGTTTGTGTGGAGAAGGCTCGAGCAGATGAGTCCTTAGGCCTACGAAGGTACCTGTGTCTCGTATTTGTACCTATCGAATCCTCGTGACTCCCACATGGTGCCTAGGACAATGCACCGCATAAAACAAAAGTTAATATCGAGGGAAAATCGTACTGCCACACAGAACTAAAATTCAGCTAATTTCTGTGAATGTCCCATTCAATAAGCAAGGAAGACGCTGCATTGCAGCAACAAGATGATTTACCCCAGTCCTGTCTGTACTGAAAGGGGAAGGGGACCGACATCGTGTAGTGGCAGCCACAAAAGAACGTCGTCCTGTTCCTGAACTGGGGAGACGATGGGGACTCACATCTTGATAATAATACACCAAGAAACCACACCACTACCGCCATCCCTATTCCGATTGCAGTTTACAACGTCTGTGTAAGTATATGACGATCAGCAACTTGGTCATACACGTCGTCCAAAAAACGTAAACGCGAGTGTACATGACAACCATACGCAAGAGCATGAGAACGAGTGCAGTTTTGAACCCAATCAACTGCGAATACTATGCTGCGTCGATGGGATCCGAACGCAAACTCGAATGTTAGGAACCAGATACGTTACGCTCTAAGAGTAAGAACGAATTCGTTCTCGTTCTGGAGTCCAAAAGGAAGCACGACACGAGTTACAAGCAGGATCGAAATTCGTAAGTCAAGGCCTAGGGAGGCAGCGATGGGGTGAAAAGGTAGGGAGAGGGTGAGAATGACGAACATCCGCGTGAACACGAGTACACCTAGTAATCGTGCCGATGAGGATGACCGCAGCATTTGCGCAAAGAGCACATCCAATGGCAACCGCGTGAACCGCATCGTGATCGGCGGTCGCGCCACTGAACAAGATTGTTATTATTTATTTGTACTGTTCATTTATCTCTTGGCATCAACATGACTGACATTGCGGAAGCGGAGGTAAGTTATGTCTTGGGATTTGTCGGCAAGCTAGAAGTTTCAAAGAACATTTATACCAGAGCAGCGAAATTTGAACTAGCAAAAGACTGGAACAACGCTTTCAAGCTTTATTTACAAGCAGCGGACGAATTTCTACGCATTCACCGTACTGCTGCGGATCCAAAATGCCGGGCCAACGCTGCCAAGGCATTAGGTCGTGCTGGAAAGATCGAGCAATTCAAAAAGCTAACTCCCTTATCAACCGACTACTTTTCACATCGTAAGTAATCAAATAATATACTAAACCGTATCCTCTAATCCACATCAGAACCTTCAATTCTCAAAAAGTCATCCGTCATCAACAACATTCAAATCCCTCTGGCAACATCATCCCCATCCGATTCATATACAACTCCATTCAATGACCCAGACGGCCAGCCATCACTCCCAACCCCTGAGTATACATGGAACCGTCCAGACTACCCAAATTCATCACTCCCACTCCTACCATCAGACATCATCCAGACCATAGTAAACGACTGCTCAGTATGCGCTTCCATCGCAGTATGCATACAACACAACATACGATTCAAATCAAACGTATGTCTCACAATTCCCCTTCCCACTCGCTAACTTTCTCCAGTTACTCCTTTCCTCTTTGTCTTCTTCTAATGACGGAAGATACGAATTGAAAGTCCTCGTCAATGGTGATTTCAGACGCGTGAGTCCCTATCCTCTAACTTATACATCATTCTCAAGTCTGCTATAGATAGGTTCGTACTAACAACCCGTCAGAGCATACGCTTAGTTCAAACAGTCATCGATGACCATCTCCCCTTTGACTCCAACAACAAACTCGTTGGAATATCAACGGGCCCAAAGAATCAACTATGGCCTTCATTCGTCGAAAAAGCAGTCTGTACTTCCCTCCTCGTATCTATCATGACATCCTCACCCGCAACAGTACATGAAACTCATGGGCGGATACGACTTTCTCGGCTCGTAAGTCACCCCTCCCCCTTCGTATAGTACTGACTTGGATACCCCAAAGAAACTCTGCCATAGACCTCCAGTAAGTCCCCCCACCCTACTTCACCCACCTCCTCACGCCCCACAGTGTCCTTACAGGCTGGATCCCAGAACACCTCGATCTCCAAAGGTATTTTCATCCACCTCTAACAAATTCCTCACTGACAACCAAAAGCGCATCTTTTGAACGCGAACGCACATGGTCTCGCGTCATGACTGCGTTCCTGCGAGGTACACCCCTTCCATCCACTTCACAACCATACTCACACCTGCTTTAGGGGACTGTATGATGACAGTCGGAACAAACGATAAAACGCCGCTCAATTACAATATACACAGCGTCAAGCTTCTTCCTTCCCATGATTATGCTGTCACAGGTAGATACCCCCTCCCACAAATAAAGTCAGGTATTCACCTGTGCAGATATCAAAGAAACGAATGATGAGCGCTGGGTCACGCTTCTTGATTCGAGGTTATGTACTTCGGAGTGCGGCCAGTGCAGCGGTAGTGGGAGCTGTCCCAGTAAGTCCCCTATTCTTTTCTACCCGTAGATTTAACATATGTAACAGGGGTTCTCGATATCCGTTGGGACGATATATGCGCAACGTTCGAGGGGTTGTATATCAGCTGGAACCCGAGTCTGTTTGGGAGTTGTGTCACGTTTCATGGGTGCGTCTTCAATCTCACACGTGTGTCTTACTCCAACGAATCCACAGATCATGGCAGCCTGAAAATGCCGAAAATCTTTCACAAGGTACGTCTGCTCTCAACTCACTTTGTACAGCGTTAACGCGCTTCGGATACAGCTTCTACTCACCACCTCCGACTGAACTATCACAAAACTAAGGACTCCGCGCATCACTCACACATAAACGAAACCAACAAGAACGGAAAGGACTCGACAGAAACAGAAACAGAAACAGAAACAGAAACAGAAACAGAAATATGGATACTCTTAACGCGTCACCTCTGCGACACCCGCCGCACAAATGAATACATCGCGATTAATGTTCAAGAGGATGATACGGTTTTGGGAGATTCAGAACATGTTGCGCTCAAGGTGCGTTTCTTCCTCTCCGCGGTATATCACATTGATACAATAGGCGCACCGTAATGTACAGAGCAACTACACAAACAGCTCACATATTCTCTCACGCATTAAAACCTCCCAATTCCAAACCCCAAATTCAGGCTCGCTCTCCATATTAGCCTGCTATGACGGTCAATTCGAACAAGTCGGATTCACGGTCACTGCGTATGCTTACTCGTCGGATGTGATGGTGTCTTGGGATACGAGGGTTCCGCCCACGAGGTATATGCAGAAGGTACCCCTCTCATTCGTTCCACTTGATCAACAATGCTGATGGATGCCAGATCGACGGCGTGTGGACTAATAAAACGGCTGGGGGTAATTGCACGCATCCGACGTATATGGTGAATCCGCAATATCACCTGCGGGTGCACAATGCCAGTACGAGTATCGTCAAACGGCCGAGCACAAGTACAAGTACTGACAAGCGCAACAAGACACAAGTTATACTCACCACGCAGAGCACTAGGGATATCTCGCTGAACGTCACAGCCGTGTGGTCGCAAGGCGAGCGTATATCAGAACTAAGTCAGAAAGAAGTGGTGGCTCATTCTGGGCCTTATACATATGGGCATGCGCGTGTCGCTGCTCATCTTGCTCGTACGTCGACCTTTTACCCGGAGGGAAACGCGGCTTATTTTGTTCATCTCGCGAAGCTGGCGACTACACAATCATCTTATCGACTTACGAACCGGACCAGATGGGAAAATTCACGCTCAAGGTAGAGAGCCCCTCTCGGTTTGATATAAAGGCGATACCACAGGAGGATGCGGGGATGTATGTCAAGACCGTCCGTGGGGAATGGTACGTCCAATCAATTTCAATTTTCACCCTCAAACAAGTCTTGACAATTTTAGGGACTCGACGACTGCTGTCGGAGGACTGAGTCAACATCGATATCACCGCAATCCAGTGTACCAAGTAACCATCCCATGCGCTTCTGAATTCGGGTACGTTCCTCCACTCCAAAGTCCGAATGCCCCATTCACATCTCTACAGTGCCCGTCTTCAACTCCTTTCCCGCATCCCAGGCGTATCCACCAACCTCTCACTCTTCCCCTCCTCAAACCTCCAACGATGCATCGCTTCCTCAGGGCCCTACTCTGATGCGCTTTCGGGTGTTGATATTCCCAAGAGGAGTATAAGCCCTGGGAAATATTATCTCGTGCCTTCGACGTACCATGCTGGGGTGCATGCTCAGTTTCGGATTGTTGTTTATAGTGGTGTTTCGGGGACCGAGGTCGTTCTGCGTTCGTGACTTGGTGGACGGGGAAAGGAATTTTGGAGGAATTTCTTGAGAGTGGTACGCAAGGGTTGGCTTGTGGACAACTCGTTATAATCTAGTCTTGATGTCGTCTTCAACTTTATTTATTCACAAGTCACCTTATTGATGGGACGTGTTTAACAACGAATTATTATGACAACTGTAATAAAGCAACGATCGAACGTCCGCGTCACCGCCTGTAGCCATTGTTCGCCCCTTTAAGGCTGCATCAGTGCTACCATCTCGCCACGCGCGCATTTTTGTCGTTGCTACAATCTGTAAATGTTCGTACTTGCACTCGATGAGTCTATGCATTCAACTTACGTCACGCAGGGACAAGTCGGCCAGGGTTAATTTCTATGCCGTGCTGGCCATGGGGAACGAACTTTGCTTCATTTCAGTATCTGCAAACAGTAGAATCGCGCATATCTTCGAATACATTAAGTCCCGCTATCTCGAAACTCATCCAGTCCTGAAGAGGATCTCGTATAAGCAATGCAAGTTCTACAAATTCAAGAACCCTGTAATAATCCTCGACGACGTCTTGGACGACATCGACATTGTCCAACAATGTCTGGATGAGCAAAATTGGATAGAAGTGTTACCGGATAGATCTTTGAAAGTACTGGGATCAGAACTAAGAAACGATCATGTTTACTTGGTGATCAAGCCTCCGCAACTTGAAGGTGCATCACCGCTTCGTCTGTTAATAATTGACATTCTCATCCTCTGCTTCAGAGGAGGCCATTGAAAATGTGCTTAAGAGAGATGAAGAGCTTTTTCGTCACTTGCAAGTCACTGTAGCAAAGCTGCAGTCATGGACCGCGCGAGACGTTGAACATAACTTGGACGGTGGCACCTGGCTGACTGATAGCCAAGAACGACCAGATTCAATCGCTGACATAGAGGATCGACTGGCTCGAGCGCGTACATACGCTGTACCAAACAACGACCCGCCATCTTATGCGGACTCTCCGAGGTTGTTATCAGGTTCAAACCGGTCAATCACCCCGATCACACCCGCTAGATTCATCCCCCTCCCGGATGCGACAAGGGACCTGGAAAATGCCTCCAGTTACAAGGCACTTTTTGATAACATATTTTTACCCGCTGTACCCACTGAGGACCACCCCGTCGATGTGAAGGATACCCGAGAATTCGCAGCCTTCTTCAGCGTCCTCCGTTCTTATCACCAAGATTGCGCTCTTCTGGTGAACGACTCCTCCTCCTCCCAGAAGGCTAGCAATTTCACTGTGCATTTTATATCGCCGCCTTTCTTTTCCCATCGTAGTGGACATTTTAAATACAAGGAGTAAGTGGGATCAATTCGTTGTTACAGCCCAACTGACCATCACGAATTTCTCAGGCAGACGCCTTGGGAATTTCCCATCTTCCTGAATACTCGGGATAATCGCAACGCCTGGTGCAAGTTCTCCCCAGCCAGCGATTGCATGGTTTCGTCTACGTCGTTTCTTTGCCCCTTCATGATATGTCAAGTGGTTTCACAGAGAAGCGAGTCCGATCGATTCCGCATGCTAGTTCAAGGCATCGCTCTTGCGCGCGTAGGACAATGTTTCATGCCAAGCGGAGAGAAATTCTTTGTTGTGGCAATTTATCTCCGTGAAAATTTGACTGCCGAAAGATATATCGTTACCCAGCCTGGTGCAGATAGAAAGGTATGTCGCTCTGTTTGTTGTCGCTTTTTTATTACTAAACGGAGGCCAGGTATTCATTGTCCAGAAAAATTTCGACCTTACAATGGCCAATGAGGCAGTCGCATTCCTTCGTGAGATGTACAACCTCGCGCAGGAGCTCGACAGTTTGGCAGGCAAAATTGATCCAAAGAACACGACACGCCTTGCCGACATCAAGGTTGCCGCTTTCGAGTTGATTTCTCTTACGTCACAGGCTCAGCACAACACAACACCGAGAACGACGTTGGCCTCCGTCTTCGAAGAAAATCGTGAAGCCAGCGGCGTTCAGGATGATCTCGGGGTCTTTGATGCTGATGACATTCAAGGTATTTTGAAAAGGATGGATTGCCAGATCTTGTTCATTGTATTTGGGGTGCGTACCACCGCAATCTACAATATAGTAACACTGACAATACATCTTACAGCATCCGTTCCTCGCCTTTGTGTCAAATATCGAGGATGATTCTCAACAAGGATATCTCAAATTCGTGAAAGAGGGGCAAAAGGAGATCGAGATCTTGCGATACCTCACGGGAATTGAATCTCCCTCAAACCACACCATCTCGCCAGTCCAAATCTGGTCGGTGCAAGGGGGTAACGTCATATCAATGCCTATGGCTGGCAGCCACCTTACCAGTCTATCCAACGCCGGCGCGCACCTATGGCCTGTGGCCGAGCAACTGTTCGAAGCTGTTGACTTCATGCATCAGCATGGCGTGGCGCACCTAGATCTGAAGCCTCCAAATATCCTCCTCCCCGCCGATGGCGGCCGCCTGTCTATCATCGACTTCAACAGATATGTACGCGTCAAAGGCACTGAAACAATGTTCCGCGGCATCGTTGGTACCATCGGATATCTTGCGCCTGAAGTCGCGGCTGGTCAAGGCCTCTACAGCGCAATCCGCGCGGACTTGTGGTCCTGTGGAAAGACGTTGGACGAGCTGTGCTACATGTGTAGTCCATCCAGGGATCGCAACGCGCTACTCGAAATAGCTCGAGAGCTCATGAATGAAGACCCGAGACAGCGACCGATGATGTCAGATGTCTTGAAGAGGCTGGCGTATTACAAGGTTGATGCCAATACAGGACCAGGTTACTTCAGGTAACGTGCTCCATTCTTGGCGTGCATGCGGCACTGCATGCGAGCATTCGTTTAATTGTTCCGAGCAGTCTCTCATCTGTCGCACCACCGGTATAACGGGAAGGACTGCAAGGGGAACCAAAGCTCTATGGCGGGAGGCTACGGCTCTTTCCATGCAAGACTTACTACGGGCCAGGACCCCTGCTACTGCGCTAGGACCCTGGCACTCCCGACGACCTGCCCTGGTACACCGGAAGTGCACGCTTGAGCTCAACCCGCTTGTATACTACGTTTAACTCAAAGTGAGCAAAAGATAATTGGACGGACAACTCGATGGCCCAAGCGCCTTGCATGCCAGTTATACCCTTGTGTAGAAGTAGGAATGTCGATCTGAATCATACCGCAATAGCAGCCTAATGTACCTATACCTTTCCTTCGTCAAATGTTCTTAGCTAAGGTTTCTCAACTCGAGTGTGCCGCGCTCTACGTCCCTGAAGTGCATACATGATACTGCTCAAACTCAACCTATTCCACGGTCAAAGTTCGAGGTGTGGATGAAATGAATCAATGATTAACCTAACAAGGCATTCTGAGGGTGATGCCTCTTGGCAGGATGCTAATCGTCTATCTCTTAATCATCCTCGATATGCTGAGTATGTCTCTTTAGTACATTCGCTGTCTTTGCTTCTCTTGACCAATGGCATAAAGACAGTGTTCTCTTCTCCCTTATACATGCTACATTCTATCATGTAGACAGCTGTTCCTGACTCACCTCCATTATGCGGCGGAGGTGTACATCGCGGGAAGGTCGATAAACGCGGATCTACTCGTAGGTGTATGTCAAGACCGTGTGTAGGAAGTGGTGCGTCGTCCACCTTTCATCAGTCAATCTAATTTTCTGCGTGAAATAATCTTGTGGATTCGACGACTGCCGTTAGGAGACTCAGTCAAAACCGATGTCAACGCAATCCAGTCTGCGAAGTAACCATCTGATGCACTTCTGAATTCAGGTACGCCCCTCCTCCTCCCATCGCCCCAAATTTAAAACGAGTACTGACCACCTCATTAACATTCACGTAACGCCCGTCGCCAACTCTTCGCATGCGCCCCAGGCGTATCCACCAACCTCTCCCCATTTCCCTCCTCAGGCGCAAATCTCCGATGATGCATTGCTTCCTCAGAACCTTGCTCCAAAGCGCTTTCGCGTGTTGATATTCCAAGAGCCTAAGCCCTGGAAGTATTTTCTCGTGCCTTCATGACTCATCGGGTGATGGGTTTGACACGGCGGATGGGGAAAGGAATTTTTGATGTGAGAGGAGGAATTCGGGGGGCGAGAGGAGAAATTCGTTGACGCGTTTGAGAGTGGTGCGCGAAGGGTTGGCTTGTGGACAACTTGTTATTATCCAGTGCAAGCGAGTTTTGATGTCGTCTTTGGCTTTAATTATTCGAATGCACATCCGTCGTCAATCAACAATTGCTTAGGGGGATAGTTGGCAGGACGTACAAAGGACACCCTCCCGTTCGTACTCATACTCGCCGCAAAATTCCCCTGAATCGTCGAAGAACTTCGTGAGAGCTGCTATGGCGACACCGATACTCGTGTCAGTGCCTGTTTCGCAGGCTATGCAGATGCGACGCGTATTCCGGAGGTGGAGAAAGATAAAGGGCATCACTTGTGGGAGGACGGTGTGTAGGAAGTGATGCTGGCCTTTTTTGCCTTGAGGCGTTTGGATGTATAGGACGCGTGGATGGTCTTTGAGAGCGGGTGGTGCGTGATCTGCGCTGGTTAGATAGACCACTGCAGACTCGTCCCCGAGAGGGGAGGAAAGGTCGTGAATGGTGCATATTGAGAGTCTACCGTGAACGTGTTGAATGGGTATGGGATGAAATGATGCGTTAGAATTTGAATCCGTGCGTGTGGGGAGTGTATTTGGAGAGGATATGAGGGCTTGAACGAGGGTTGGTAGTTCATTACGGTTTGCGCGGAGGAGGGTCTGTTTGTGTTTCCAGAATTGAGCAGGGGTGAGGCCCTGTCGCGTGAATTGTATCAAAAATAACGGCCGAACTTAACGGAGGATACGTACCATACTCCACAGCTCGTGATCATCCCCCGATCCCTGGATATACGCAAAACCTGTGATACGTCTCTCTATACCGTCCAAAACCTGCTTCGAAGCAGATATGCAGATGATAGGGTAGAATCGTCGTTCAGCATCGGTATCAGGAAATTTGGGGAATATAGTGGTGCTGGGCGTTATCCAAATCGGGCGGAGGGGGTATTGCAGTTTCGGGAGTACGTAGAACGAAGTCTACAAATCCACCATTTGAGATACCTAAGACTCGGGGTTAAAAGAGAATAAGACTGACAGCAAGATCATCTGCCCACCCATCTAACTTTTGTTCTATCTGATCATGTTCCTGTGCGCTGACCACCCCAGGTGGAGTGTACAATTTCGTGTTCCAAGCATCCGCGTCCACGTTTAAGTTCGAAATGGTTTTAAGGACGGCTCGATTTATTACTGCACACCAGATTGGAACGGTTTTAGAGAGCGCGTCTGGCATGCGTTTTCCTGCTCTCGTAGAATCCACCAAGAGCAGTCTGAGGCTCACACGTTATACAGTTTGATATCATCGATGTAAGTGGCGCACGAACCCTGCGTGCGCACAAATCAAAGGTAATACGTGTAAATTGGGTCTTCGAAGATTGAAGCTCCAATTTCCGGTGTGTCCGTCGGTGGACTTGAAATATGCGCGCTCGTTTGATGCCTGCAAGAATATTCGTGAGCTGCAACATGGACTGAGAATAGACTTACGGTGTCAGGGTCTGTGTACCATGCCCCGCATCGCATATTGGCTTGTGGATACGTGAGATGAGGACGGTGATCGGTAAGGACGGTGATACTCACGGATGAGGGGAAGTCTGGAGTAAGATCGATAGACTTGGTCTACGAAAGCGGCGTCCTCTGAAATAGAATGGATTCGGTTGTAGAGATCTTGCGATTCCTTCCGTAGCTCGTTTAGGGCTAGCGATGCGCTGTCCTTGTGGCCCATGACTAGGACTCTGGACGTTGGAACTTGTGAACCTCTGGGTGATAAAGCGCTGATGTCGCTTTCCATCCAGGAAGGAGTCGGGGTGTGCTAACATGGATACTTGCCCCATTTGGTCAAGGCGGCTGATCAATCGATAACGGTCGTGTCGCTACCGAGAACGCATTACGTTTTGTTGGTTCGAGAAGTAGTTAACTGGTTTGCTTGTGACAACTTCACCAAACTTTATAATCTGCTCCCACCTGCTCACACGGATGCTGACAAGTAGGTTTCTTGGTAGCTCCGCCACTCCACCATATTCTTCCTCGAAGCCGGGTACTACTTGGACTACCAATGATCATCAAAATGTCATGGTAAACTCTTGCGCATTACTTTGAAAACCTAGGAATATTAATAGGTTACCTATCGACGCAGCCGCCCATATATCATTGGCAACAAGAAGTATCACAGGAGCTTTTGACTGACGAAGACGGAGCGCGTAAATAATGTGCGGATTAATTGACCTTTTTGTCGTCTTTGTGATTGAACAGGGTCCTGCAACACTTGCCGCCTTAACCTCACAGATTCACCACGAAACAGCACCTCCAACATTGCCCGCATGGCGGCCGCAGCTGTCAGAACACATCACCTAAGGTTCACGGCTGGGTGTTATTCTTACATGTTCAACGTTCGGCCCGAAAAAGCCCTGTTAATCGTTCGTTCGTGCTCGGGTAACGCAGCGAGGATTAAAATGGAGTGAAAGTCCCCTCTATCATCTCCATGATGGGCTAAGGCTGACGTGCATGCACATGTAGTATTCTCATTTCCACTATCTCCCACACAACCCGTCTCCGGCCTTATATGGCTTCACAGAAGCGTATGCTGGTACGTCAGCGTTGTAAGGTCAATTAGCGCTCAATCTTGACCTTCTGCACAGTACCTGTGGTTGGGAAGCACATACGGGATACTTCCGTCAAAGACGGGAACTACGTAGGTCTTAGTAAACATCCCTTCAGCTTCACCAAAATGTTAATACATGTGTATGATAGTCAACATCTTAAATGCATCCCTCAAAATCCTATCAACTATTCAATTAAATCGAAGACCCGTTTAGGACTCTGAACCAGGCAGGAAATGTCCTTTTTACATCCACAAGCTTAAGTTGGTCAATCAGCCTGGACTCACGAGTCACCTAAGCCCTTCTGCTGCAAATCAATGCGTTGTTTTGGACACACTCCGGTAGATTAGCGACTAGAGGTTTCCTATTTTAACACATTGCTAAATTTTTCGAAAGGAATTTTCTAAATTGTCATCGTCACTAGCTCGCCTTGAGTGAGCTCAATAAACTGGACGGTCCCGGACCATCTGATGGAGCCGCCATCGCGAAGCTGACCGTTCTATGAATTACGATAACTGATAAGCCGCACGACAGCCGGTGACCCTAACACCATCCTACACATTCGGATCACGACCAAAGCGCCCAAAAGTCTTATTGTCTTCGCACCGTGAGCCCCAAACTTTACCTCTGATAATCTCGGTGTATTTACGGGTATGATGCCCTTCCTGTGGATGCAGTACGATGCGTGCCTAGCCACTCTATGTTCTACCAACGCGATCAAATTACCACAACCACTTGCTGAAAAAAAATTCACCATGAATGAGCTCAAAACACCACTGGATTCCCCTTGCATGTGTCGCACAAAATTGTAGGTTATCGTGCATTCCACAAGTATGATACAGAAAATAATATCTTGAGGCTCAGGAGGGCACCATCCGACCGATCTGGCCATACAACATATGCCGTATACAGGTGCTTGTCGGGAACCTGCCGCCAGTAACCATGTGCATGCACAAACGAACCTCTATTTACCATTACGCAAAATGATTCCACATTTGCCACTGGTGGCCAATTTCTTGTAATGCGATGCCACAAATATCCAACCTGGCATAGCAAATCGAGACCGCCGCACTAGCAGCGTTGTTCCGTTCGTTCCACTCCGTCACCACCCGCGATACTTGGATTCAGGTGGACCCATAAGAGGTATTTGCATCGGGCCTTGTTTTTTTTCGCATATCGCAAGTTCTCCTGACTTGACCTGTGTGGGGACAACATCGCATAGTGATCCTTTGCCAAAATCTGTTAGTCTGGCGTTTCATTGTTTCTTGCTTGGCCTTGCCAGCCGCAACCGTCGTTGTCACCCTCGGAAAAATATGTGAGCCATATTTTTGATAAGCTTCGCCTATCTGAAAGTACAGTACAGTACGTTGTTCCGCGACCCTTTCACCTCTTTTAATTAATATCGCCAAGCCAACATCTAGCCACGGACATGATGAACTTTCCTGAAGTTCAATTCTATTGATAGGGCCTTCGAGCTTCTATTTCGATATTGTGGGTGGATCACCCTTACACCAAGAGATATGGCCAGATGTTACTCTAGCCTCCGCTAGATACCGCTCGGACTATAAAGTGAGCAATCACAAGCACTGGTAGTCACCAACAAAATTTTCACGTTAACCATTGTCTGTTCTCCCTCCAACCACAAGAGCACATGTCTGCCATCTTACCCGTTAGTCTTAGTCGATCATCAGACTGGTTCTTTGTCCAACAACTACTGACGGTGTGGTATTTCACAGGTCCCACACAATGATCCCACCGCAGCTGCCGACTTTTCTGACCACATCATCTGCTTGTGGGACAGTGGCTTGGGGATACCATGTGGCGCATATATCAGTGTTTCAGACCTTTCAAAACATTTGTCGATGCACGGGGTGAATGGGCCGGCAAAATCGGTCATATCATGTGCGTGGGGCGACTGTGGAAGAGCCCCCATGAAACGGGAGAGCGTTGTTCGACATGTCGAGGAAGTGCACTTGCAGGTGAAATACCTCTGCGACCAATGCAGTGCTTCTTTCTCGCGCAAATCTACGCGCAACGGTCATGTTTTCAAGTCGCATTCATACGCGTCCTAGTAGGAAATTCTTACGTTTTGTGCATATATTTTGTTGGACTGTCTGCGACGCTGTACGTTAGTGTACCACCCTAGTATATATGTATATACATTATCACATTCGGTCACCAGTCTTGGACAATGTATTAATATTTAACCACAGTATACATCGCAATGCCCCAAACCACAAAACAGCTGCTCATGGATATGGTTGCTGATTACTGCAGCGAATGATAGTCCTTCTCGGGTCATGACCAACCTGGTGAGGAAATGTCATGAGTGGTGCATATTGAGAGTCTACCATGAACGTGTTGAATGGGTATGGGACGAAATGACGTGTAAGAATTTGAATCAGTGCGGGTGGAGAGTGTATTTGGGAAGGATGTGAGGGCTTGAACGAGGGTTGGTAGTTCATTACAGTTTGCGCGGAGGGTCTGTGTTTCCAGAATTGAGCAGGGGTGAGGCCCTGTCGCGTAAATTGTATAAAAAATAACGGCCGAACTTAATGAAGGATATGTACCATACTCCACAGCTCGTGATCATCCCCCGATCCCTGAATATATGCAAAACCTGTAATGTGTCTCTCCATACCATCAGATATGCAGATGCATAGGGTAGAATCGCTGTTCAGCATCGGAATCAGGGAATTTTGGGAATATTGTGGTGCTGGGCGTCATCCAGATCGGGCGGATGGGGTATTGCAGTTTCGGGAGTACGTAGAAAGAAGCCTACAAAGCCACAATTTCAGATGCCTAAGACTCAGGGTTAAAGAAGAATAAGACTGACAGCAATATCATCTGCCCACTGATCTAACTTTTGTTCTATCTGATCATGTTCTTGTGCGCTGACCAGTGACCGCCCCAGGCGGAGTGTACAATTTCGTGTTCCAAGCATCCGCATCCACATTTATGTTCCGAGTGGTTTTGAGAACGGCTCGATTTATTACTGCACACCAGATTGGAACGGTTTTAGAGAGTGCGTCTGGCATGTGTTTATCTGCTCTCATAGAATCCACCAAAAGCAGTCTGGGGCCCACGCGTTATACAGTTTGATATCGTCGATGTAAGTGGCACACGAACCCTCTGTGCGCACAAATCGAAGGTAATACGTGTAAATTGGGCCTTCGAAGATTGAAGCTCCAGTTTCCGGTGTCCGTCGGTGGAAAATATGCGCATTCATTTGATGCCTACCAAGGTGGATTCGATATTCGTGAGCTGCAACATGAATCAAGAGTAAGGAGAATTACAGTATCACGGTCTGTGTACCATGCTCCACATCACATGTTAGCTGGTAGACGCGTGAGGTGATGACGGTGACACTCATGGATGAGGGGAAGTCTGGCGCAAGATCGATAGACTTGGTCTATGAAAGCGGCATCCTCTGCAATGGAGTGAATTCGGTTGTAGAGATCTTGTGATTCAACCTTTCGCAGCTCACTAAAGACTAATGATGCGCCGTCCTTGTGGCCCATGACTCTAGGCATTGGAACTCGTAAATCTTTGGTCAGGTGATAAGGCGCTGATCGATCATCTTGCTCATCTATGCACTACACGGCGAGTTAGCGCTCAAAGGGATAGAGTCATTGGTCGACGTGGGTAATGGACAATGGGGCTATGGTGTGTACTACGAAAAAGTGTCTATGTTCTGACGGAGCTTTTGACGAGGCAAACTGTAGGCAAGTGTTTGAGTGTTTGGGTGTCGGGCTGATCCGGCCCGAAGCATGAATTTCAACCAAAGGATCAAGGTGAGCTGTGTGGGTGGGTGGACCCGATCAGATCACCTGTGATAGCGACCGTAGGAAGCAATCACCGGACAAATGTTTGGTGTACACGGCAAAACACGTAATTTGCAGACCAAACATAGCGCGGGAAGGATAATCTACATGTACGGCAGATGCCAACCTCGGTGTATTCTGAGCGAAATTCATATAAAATCAAAAACTATGTGTCTCACACCACTTTATGGATAGCTTGTCAATGTCATGGGAAATCACCAATGGAACATCGTGGTAACATCATCATTAGGTGATTTGGAGATCGTACACATGGTGACCCCTGGTTGTCAGTCATATATAATAGCACTTGTATAGTCGATATCTTGAGCCGTGAGTCTGTTGGATGTTAGCCTTATGTATTCTTAATGTACATTGTATATCGCTAGGAGGTCCATAGGAGGAAAACAAATCATTATAACATATCATCGAAGTTTGCCAGGATCAAAACATATGAACACGCGCTCAATGAGTGTCCAAGTAATGTTAAAACTACATTTTACATTTCAAGTATTCACAATACATGCTATGGAACGACACAATTTAACATGATATGCAGTATATATACCATCAATCAACTGAGAACAAAGGCTCAGGATGGAAAAGCATTGCGTGAGTACAAAACTCGGCCCATATTTGCTCAAGTAAACCCTCGCAACTGTGATCCACACCTAATACACTTGCAGCTCCGTCCTCAAGCCACTGTTCAATGAACCGGCCCTGGAGGGGAATTCTCGCGTCCCACGTCAACCAACTTCCACTTGGGAAGTCTGGGTAAGTAGCTACAAAAGCGTACCAGAATGCGTCGCGGCCCCACGTCCAATGTTGTGAATCCGACGGTATGTTAACCAGCCAGCGCTGGATCTGCTCTAACAACCTTGACCAATGGCAAGAATCCGTGGGGTTGAAATCGGACGGCAAAGGGAGGAATGTTATGGGTATGTCGACATGCCGGTTGTAAGGCTCTAGTTCGTGTCCGCTATCACTCACAGCAGCAACCTGAAATCATTAAAATTGTTGAATTTCACAAGAGAAAGTTGTGCACATACGTTTTCGGATATGGAACCCTCACTGGTAGGATAGCCGTCCAAAGCAAGAGACTCTATGACCGGTGTTGTGAATGAGCTATACTCCTCTGCAATTGAAACGGAAATTTGGATCGGCTAAAATGGAAATAAGAAATGTTAGCAAATCAGTCTGTAAGGTCAGGAGGGGGCAGTACAACAACGCTGTGAACAAGGTGCCTCGGAAGAGTACCTGAAAAGCAGACACCAATGCACAAAGGCTGTATGGACGCGTCTTGTGTGTGTCGCACCGCACGAACTGTTGGATATAATGTTACTGTGAGTGGTGTCATATGGGCCCAGTTTGTTGTGCTTGAAAACTCGCAATGATTCATTCGAGAAGTTGGAGTTCGCAGAATGAAGCGCTTACATTTGGCACGTGATCAATGGACTTTGCAAGATTCGACGCTGACTTGAGTCGTCGACCAGCAGCGATTATGAGTGGGATACCTATCGATGGAACAAGTGAGTATTTTAAAGAGTGTTATGTGTTTAAACTCTCACATGTGTAGTTTTTAAATACTGCGGTACGACACGCACTCGTGTTATCTGCACGGTCTGTCCCCCAAACAAGAACACATTCCGGATAATGGAGCGCAGGCACGTCAAGTCTCATTGCGATAGTGCCATTCACAAGCGGCACGTTACTCTCAGACGTTCTGGGAGAACCTATGTGTCCAAACCTCGACAGCCGGAGAGTCCTGCCCTCGATGACTTCAATATGGAAGTCGACCATAGCTCCGGATCTTTCCAGCACGACGCTGATGGCCAATATGAACCCGGGGATCCCAGCAACGAATCCGACAGTGGGCAGCCAGCACCGATATTGGCACGCGTTGAAGATGAATCAATCCCCTTGTCCGAACTATGGGATGTGGGATTGCATCGTGATACCTACGAGATCAGCGGGGGACGGGATTTTTTTGATGAATTTAAGGCTTCGCTACTCGACAATGGTCAACTTCTCAGGATGCCTCTTGCTCCTCTCAAAGATGAGATGGGCTCTCAAGATGTTGACTCGGAGCCTGATTTCGGGATCGAGTTATTGTGTCAGTTGTCCGTATGGCAGGTTCGTTTGCGTTATTGACACGATTTCAGGCGAATCAGAAATTCCTACCAATCCCGGCTCGATACACGAGAAAGTTAAGCATGGGAGTCCGTACTATCCTTGGTCATCGAAGGGAGTAAGTTTCATTTGTTGTTGTTTCGGATGTTGATGATATTCATTATCTTTCAAAGCACTTCGTGACATCGCTTTTGTTCAGTTCGGCGCGGCTGCCCTTTTCAGAAGCACAGAAGAGAGCTGTTCTTAGCTGGGCCAGGGACCTTGGTGCTCGCGACGTCCCATCTCTCCGGGCTATTAAGCAATCAAACGAGCGCATCCACGGACTTGTTGGGAATCCGACGCGCAAAGTCACATCTGCGTCCGGCAATATATTTTATATCAACGATATCGGACATGCGATTGCAAAGGTAAAGTAAGAGTACGACGACTACCTACTCTAACTATATACTTCAGGATTATGCAAACCCACTCACTCGCTTTTCGATGCTGGACTATCCGGAGGACGGAGGAGCGGGAATGTCTCAAGTTTGTCATGGGCAGAAGATGCTGCTAGAGGTACCATCACCTCCGGCAGCTCGTGTGGATGGCAACATTTACTTTGTCCATGAACTTCTGCAAGAATGCTCGGGAGACTATTTTGTCCCCGAGCGCTTTTTTAATGCTTCATATGATCCATTGAACCCAGGGCGCTCACACGGTCCAGGCCAGCAGAAGGAGTTATATGCTATGGGCCGTGCTGTGAAATATACAGATGTACTTTGATTTGGCTGATACGGCGACAGCATGCTGACACGTCAGCTAGGCTGGTTTTATTGTCAGTGATGAACAAGAAGTTGTACCGGTTTCGATCTTCAGGCGTTCATTCGAGGATATTGCGGGTGAGCTCACATGTGGGGTTACAGGTAGGTTTACATTCGAAGCAAGCGATGAACTACTTAGTATAATTCTAGCATCGTCTGAAAAATATCTTAAGCTTGTACCACACCCACTCCGTGAAAAAGCGAAGGGTTGAATGGTGTATTCGGTCCCTCTGATCATATTTATGGATGATGTTTCCGGGAATGTTTCAAAACAGTGGAACAAGCACCACGCAATCTACATGTCGAATGCCAACTTGCCTCGTGAGATGCTGGAGAAGGAATTCCACGTTCGTTTTGTAACGTCATCTCCGCACGCTGCGCCAATGGAATTAATGCATGCTATGAGGGAATCTATCGAGTGCGTGTTCTCTGCTGTTCATAACATTTTGTTAGCTTAAGTATGAGTAGCAATGCGGCAGAGTCAGGGATCATTGCATGGGACTGTAAATTTGATGAGGAAGTTATGCTTATTCCTTCTGGACTCTTCATCGCCGGAGACAATCCAATGCAGGCGGAAGAATGTAGTCACGCAGGGTTGAACTGTAATTACTTTTGCAGGACCTGCCATGTTGGTGGCACGAAAGAATACAAGGAGTCGGAGGTTGGTTACAACAGTATTTTTGTGGTATGTTATCCAGACAGAAAGACAGCTATTTGCTGATCTAGCGAACGAGACAGGAAGGAAGCCTCCGAACACCCAAAGAAACAACATCGCAAGTCTGTCAGCAATTTGAGACGGCATTATGTTCGGGAGCTGCAGGGAAGATTGCAGCTGCCACAACGTCAACTGGAATTCGTGACTCTCTTTCGTCTTCACTCATTAATACACTGGTAGAATTGGGCAAAAAACTGCGAAAACGAGACGCAGGACAGTCAGCTTTAGCAGAATCTGAAGTTCGTGCTAAGCTGGAGAACGAGCTCGAGCATTTGTTGCAAAGCAGGACACACCATGATGCGATAAACCCTCTTCTTGGGATGAACGGACTCAATATTCACCTCGACACTCCGACCGAGATTCTTCACACTGTTTTACTTGGCGTTGTGAAGTATTTCTGGGGCCAGACTGTCTTTCTACTCGAGAAAGCAAAACTACTCGCCGTTTTTCAGACGCGTCTCGCCTCATTGGAAACGGATGGCTTGAATGCGCCATCCTTGAATGCTGACTACATTTGTCACTATAAAGGGGGCTTGATCGGCAAGCATTTCAAAAGTCTCGCACAGGTTATGCCATTCGCTGTATATGACCTTGTTCCGAAGAGCGTTCTCGATGGGTGGACTGCAATCGGAGAATTGGTTGTCCTCATTTGGCATACAAAAATCGACGACACTGAAAGCTACTTGGCAGCGCTCTCTCGAAAAATCGGCGACTTTCTCAATGTTACCGCACAATGTGCTCCCAGTATCTTAATCAGCAAACCAAAGTTTCATTTTTTGGTTCACCTCCCAGCATTCATCCGACGCTTTGGACCTGCGATTGTTTTCTCTACAGAACGCTACGAATCCTTCAATCATGTCTTCCGGCTTACATGCATTTTCAGTAATCGACGAGCTCCAAGTCGGGACACGTGTACTACATTTGTTCACAATGACACTATCAAGCACATCGCCACGGGTGGGTATTGGTATGATGCTGATGTAGAACAATGGGTTCAAGGAGGCCCGCAGGTTGTCACCTACCTCGAAGACCATCCTGAACATGGCCGACTGCTTGGGATTCCCAACAAAAATCTGGCAGATCCAGGTACGCTTTATCAAGCAGTCTCATCCGAAGTTCCACAGATTGACCATGCTATGGAAGGCACAGGTGCAATTTCGACAACTGGAAGGTCTAAGCGCGATTCCATTCCATGGGAAATGACTCGTTGCGCAAAAATACTCAAGGCAAACTGTTTTAAAAGTCCTTCTCACACTCATTACTACCAGGGGATTTCAGTTGTGACTGGCGAGCATGAACGTTCGCAGGTGGATGGGCATGTTATCTTTCGAGACACGGACTCGGAGAAGGTGCGTTTTCGCTTGTTATATCATTGCCAGTGAAACACTAACTGGCTATTTACTACTACTAGACTCGTATTGGACGCATCCGCGAAATCTTGATCTCGACAACGACCCAACGCGCAGTTGCATTTGTTGCTCTCCAAGTCTTTTCCGTCATGCCTGCACGCCACCCTTTGCTTCACCTGCCGTGCCTTGTGCTTACCGATGAGGAAGTAGCAGTGTCAGGAATGGTGAGCCTTCCTGCTTCCTATGCGTTTCCTTTGAAATTCAAGTTGCATTGCAGGATATTGTGTGTGCAGTGAACCTTCAGCACAATTGTCTCGATGCGAAGTGTACAAACTTGTCTACTAAGCATGTATGGCAGGAACGGACACAGACTGACCAAACGACAAGTATCGTGGAACACCAACCATCACCGCACTATCTCCTCAACACATTCTCCATCCACAACTACCAGCATATCCATTCTTTTCTCCCGGAATCGCTTTGCGAGACGCCACTACGAGTCGCAGATCCTGGAGCTGTCCGAAAAGCCGCTGTGAAACAGATGCAAGGAAAGAGATTAGCGAAAAAAACTGGAGGAGAGGCGGCAATCCCGCCCAATGACGAAGATGGCGCACGGCCTGCGTTTGATCACGGGCCCAAGAAACAGGCTAATAAGGCCAAAACAACAGGAAAGAAGCCCGTTCAGCCTGCAACACGCACCAAGGGAGCTAAAGTGGGAACTCCGCAGTATCACCCACCCACTTTCTCACCACCTGTCCAAAATGACAGCACATCCCGGACACCCTTCCAACCCACATCAAGCACTGGAAGTGTTGCGCACCTCCCTCTCCAACCACAACCTCATTCTTATCCACCTGCTCAATACTTTGCCCCCCTCACTGTTCCATCGCAACTTGCTGGTGCTTCGAGTTCATTCCCAGCACACCGATCGCAGCCAACGTTTGCGCCACCCCCACAGATATCTCCTTCAAGTTGGCCATCTCAGGCGCCTTCCTTTCCCGCATACTCTAGTCACAATCATTTTAGTTCTATAATCCACTCCATCCCACCTGTTCGAGTACCTACTGCTCATGAATCATTGTATCCCGCAGTCCCAGAAACTTATTCTCGCCAGTCAGGTCCTTATTATCCACCTCCTCATTATTTCCCCCCCTAGTTGTTTGTAATATCATGACATGGCTCTCATTGCGCCAGAATAACACTTATCTTTTAGCCAAGATGTGACTGAGAGAAAACCTTCTTCATAAACCGGCAAGCGCAATTCGTCTATTTTTTCTTGGCGGGGGTGCTGAACTGACATCACGACTTCATACCAAACAGTGCCGAATTCTTTGCCGGGTTGACTTCATCGCTAAAACAACATGCGTGCATTTTTTCGAAACCCTCCTCGTGAACAGGCAAGTGCAATTCGTCTATTTTTTCTTGGTGGGGGTGCTGAACTAACATCACGACTTCATTGCTCAAACAACACGCGCGCATTTTTCGACCCCCTCATCAACCCTATCTTACACCAGAACAACACTTGTTTTTTCAGCCAAGATGTGAGAGAAGACCCTCCTCATAAACCGGTGAGTGCAATTCATCTATTTTTTCTTGGCGGGGGTGATGAACTGACATCATGACTTCATACCAAACAGTGTCGACTTCATCGCTCAAACAACACACACGCATTTTTTCAAGACCACTGGCGAGTGCAATTCATCTATTTTTTCTTGGTGGGGGTGCTGACATCACAATTGCATCGCTCAAACAACACGCGCGCATTTTTTCGAGACTCGGACCCTCCTCATGAACAGGCCAGTGCATTTCATCTATTTTTTTTGGCGGGGGTGCTACTTGTCCCATCTCTGAATCTGCTGTACCACTCGTCTCACCAACTTTGAGTTCACTGATCTTGACTTGTGGCGTTGAGCCCACACTTGCGTGGGAAGTGTTGTTAACACCGAAGAAAATCAAAACCTGACTTCTGTGTTCAGTTCAGTTGACCCCAAAGGACCACTCAAGATGATGTTGAACCGTTTTCCACTTCGCTCGACATCTGGGAGCTCCCAGCGGGCAAGCAGTGTTGGTCCCAGACCACAAGGACAGGGCTTGGCACCACCCCAGGATGGTAGACCTCGTGGTCGCTCACTGCTCGGTTCTGACGCAGGCCTCTCGACCCGCTCTGGTCCCACTGCAGGTCGCAGAGGTGTCAGCTCGAACTCTCGACCCCAAGCGGCACGTAGGCAGGGTCATCAACAGAGTTCTACATCTACGTCAGAATCCCAGGTTATTCCGACCATCACCTCATCACGCCCGATTTCTCCCGCCGGATCGTCTGATATTGACCAACCTATCAGTGCGGATGTTAACGCGGGTGTTCGGCGTCGACGGAATTCTAGTGTTGATGCAATGCAACTCACCCCAAGGCGCACCAAGCGGCTCAAAACACATGCCCAACAACTTGCCACTGATCACGGAGTACCTTTGAAGAAACTACTAGCATTTATTGAGGTACAGTACTCTACTTTTCCGTTATTTCCTGGCTTGATTCAGCGTCACACAGAATGGTAATTTGTTCCATATGCTTCTTGAGTTGAGGGCCGGCCAACTCAAACGAGAAGAAGAGAACGAAGTAAATGTCTTGCAGGATCTAGAGAAATTACTCACCTCAAAGGATTTCGAGGTGCGACTGATGGTCTTTTCTTCGTGTGGGTCTGTGATTGACTACACATGATAGAGTGCACTAAAGGGCCGCCTGACTGCTTGCATGCTATCCCCCAACCTAACCGCATATGTGACCGACACACAGCAACATATCATGGTAGGTCAACATCCTTTGATTTTACCCCAATTTTTCACCGTTTTGAACGTAGGACTTCATCAAAGAGCACGGTGATCTTTTCAAGATTTCCGAGGGCCTCTTTGATGACAATGAGTTGCGTGCGCTACTGAGCAAATTGGTCACGCGACTTTTGGCGACCATCCGTGGCGCCATCAAGACCACGGTAAGTATATTTCGAACCAACGATAATACTCGCTGAGGTCTCTCTGTCTACAGCTAACCACATCAATCAGCAAAAGATTGAGCATCATGGACGCCCTCAAACCAATCATACATAGCGGCATGGAGGTTGATTCTTCGCACTGGACAAGATTTGCATTCTTGGTATGTGTCTTCGAACGTCTAATATGACATTTATTTACTTTAAGTTAGCGGCGATGTCTTCGTATGTTCTTGATTGGTGTCAGTGACCACGAAAAAATCGCCCTCAAGGATCTCTTCTCCCCCTACCTCATTCCCTCACTTCATCCAGATCTTCAATGCCACATAATGAGCCAGCTCCACGTCGACATCCAACAGCTGGCGGAGGAGTTCCAACAGAGCCACCCAGACCTCGTCTTTGGGCATCAAGATGAATCCCCTGACACCACCAATAATAATGCGAACAACCGTGACAACACCCAAGTAGCGGACTCGGAAGAGCATGTGGGTCCAAACACAGATGCGGATGCGGATGTGGACGCGGACGCGGACGGGATTGCGGATGCGGATGCAAACTTGGATGCGGACGTGGACGCACACGCACACGCGGATGACGATGATGGCGCTGATTCTGGCTTTGGACTTCAAGGCTCTCCCCCCAAGTGGAACAAACAGAAGTTCTGGAACTACGTCGATGCAATGCTAGAGCAAGTTCGTGACAGTGCATACCGTGAAACAGGCACTCGTTCTGGCTCGAAGTATGAAGACGCATACCGCAAGTACGTGATATGCAGCCCACCTGTTTGTTTATCCAATTGACCAATGCACAGGGCAATGATCGAAGTTCTCCAGCTTGATTTGCAGGAATTCCCTGGTCGCCGCAAAGGTCCGACTGTCATGAACTTGAAGGTTATGCAGCCTGTGTGGCAGGATACAATTCAGAAGAATCTCTTATGGTGAATTTAAACGCTCTTTCGCACTTAATAGATCTAGCTATAGTATTCACTGTTAATTGTCATTGTCCATTCTTTGCTATCGTTGAATTGATGTTGCGTTGTTTTCTATCCGTTCCGTTCTGAGATCTGAGTATCCACAACACCGAAAGCTCAACTGGAAGAGGTACATGTCATGTATCATGGATATACGATGTATGTATTTCATACATCCTCTAGAATGCCGTGTTGGATATGCGGGTACAGATATAATCCATACATCCCCATGAATACACCTACTTAGCATTTTCGGCTGACTATAATATTGACATGTCGCTATGGATATCACACCTTTGGCGTCCGTAGAGACAGAAATTGTATCTTGGGAAAAAGATCGTATCAGTACGTCACCTGCATCCTGCAGAAGTCACCGAGACGTTGAGCCACTGAATGTTTCTGAACATACACAACGTAAATGCTAATTATATAACGTGATGGTTGTGCGAAAACCATAAAAATAATACACCTCAGATCTTGAACGAACGCTTGCCATTTTTGACATAGGGCTTACAAATTGTGTGGCTTGCCGTGTAGTTTTGTCGTCTTTTGGTTCTTGTTGGATACTATTTGTCTCACACTTTTGATCGGGGAGTGGCGGGGTGAGGATGGTAAGTGCCTTAGTACTCAGGCCTCAGGGCGAGGTGGTGGTAAGAAGCTGCACCACTTCGCTTATTCGCACACACTAATGCTAATCCGGCCGAGGCACGAGGCCGGCTTAGATAGTCATCCATCCAGGGCTCCGAGGAGGTGTGGAAACGTACTACCCCATTTGGTCAAGGCTGGTACCATAATGATTACGTTAAACTTGTTGGTCTGAGAAGCCTAGTCTGACTACTAGTCGACTATTAGCTAAACTTGAACTAGAAGTGGAGTTTCTTGACTCGGACTCCGCTAGAAGTTCTTCCTCGAAGTCGGGTACTAGCTAGTACTTGGACTGGTTCAAATCAGACAGTAGATCAATTTTGTGACGGAAGTAGAGAGGGATAGGGAGCCGATGGCCAGCAGGTGAGATACTTCGTAATCATATCTGGATCTGTGAGTTATGTGTTAATCTTCTATCACACCAAGGTGGCTATTCGTTTGCATGAATCTTGAAGGGATCTCAGAGTCTCAGACTCAGCAAGATCCTCGACTGTGTTGGCTTCTCCCGCGTGACGTTCTATAGAATCAAGAAGCTCTACAACGACACTGGCGATGTTGTCACTGAGCCAAGCAGCCAATACACTGGTCGTCCATGCGTTTTCAATCTCGAAGACCTCCATTACCTTCTAGAACTTATCCGTCACCGTCCTGATTGGTTTCTCGATGAGCTGACAACACTTATACGTCACAATCGCTACATCTCCGTCCATTATTCTACAATTCATCGAGAGCTCTCATAGGCTGGTATCTCACTCAAAAAACTCCGCAGGATCGCTAAGAAACGCAACGAAGATGTCCGTGTAGACTTCAAGCGGCAGATGGCGCAATATTTACCAGGTTGTTCATCGATAAGACATCAAAGGATGAACGGACAATTCGGAGGTTTGGGAGAGCCAAGAGGAGCCAATATACAAGCATGAGGGGTGCATTTGTTCGCGGCGCTTCACAGTAGTTGCTGATTTGACAATGGGTGGAATCGTTGCAGGATATGTTCTTGAAGGCAATGAATACCTTCGTTCGGCCCCAAAGTTCTGCTGAAGGATTTGTGTGACTCCTCGAGCAACGCAGCGAGGACCAAAAGTCCCTCTTCTATCATCTCCATGATAGGCTAAGGCTGACGCGCATGCACATCTCCACCGTCTCCCACACAATGCATTTCCGATGATATCCGGGGTCAATCAGCGCTTGGACAGCGCCTACGGTTAGGAAGCACATTTACCAAAGGTGGGACTACGTAGGTCTTAGTAAGTATTCATCCCTTCGGCTCCATAAAAATTTCAATACGTTCAAATGAAGTTTCATCCTTATTAACAGATTGATCAAATCGAAGGCCCGGTTAGATGGATTCTGTGAGCCTTCTCTTTACATCCGCAAGAAATTTTCTGTCTCCATTATTATCTCACCAGTGAGCTCAATGAACTGGGCGCACTTGGATGATGGCATCTGATGGTGCCGACATTGCGAATCTGACTCCTGACCGTTCCATGAATCACGATAGCTGATAAGCCATACGACAGACGGTGAACAATACCGACCCACACCATTGGATCACAATCAAAGCATCAAAAGTCTTGTAATATGATGCGTGCCTCGCGACTCTATGTCCTACCAATGCGATAATGTGATTCCGTTCATTCCACTCCGTCGCCACCCACGATACATGGATTCAGGTGGACCCATAACGTTTTGTATCCGCATGGGGCCTTGTTTTCTCCGCTTATCACAAGTTCTCCGACTTGACCTGCGTGGGGACAATATCACATAGTCATCCTTTGTCAAAATCTGCTAGTCTGGCGCTTCATTGGGTTTCTTGCTTGGCCTTTTCAGCCGCAATCGTCGTCACCCTTGGAAAAATACGTCAGTCAGAATTTTGATAAGCTGCACCCATCGGAAAGCACGATACGTTGTTTTACAACCCTGTCACTTCTTTGATTAATATCACAAAGCTGCCATCTAGTATCAGACACGAGGAATTCATCGAATTTTTTTTGATGACTTCAATTCTAATCATAGGGCATGCCTCCGTCAAATACTTCTCGGACTATAAAGCAATAATCACAAACACTGGTAGTTATCAACAAAACTTTCTCGTTGTTGTCTAATCTCCCTCCTGTCGCGAGAGAACATGTCTGCTTTCTTATCTGTCAGTCTTGACCGATCATCATACCTGTTCTCTGTCCAACAACTAAAGATGGTTTGGTATTTCACAGGCCCCACACAATGATCCCACCGCAGCTGCCGACTTTTTTGACCACATCATCTGCTTGTGGGACAGTGGGGGAATACCATGTGGTGCATATATCAGTGCATCGAACCTCCCAAAACATTTGTCGATGCACGGGGTGAACGGGCCGGCAAAATCGGTCATATCATGTGCATGGGACGACTGTGGAAGAGCCCCCATGAACCGAGAGAGCGTTGTTCGACATGTCGAGGAAGTGCACTTGCAGCTGAGATATCTCTGCGACCAGTGTGGTGCTTCTTTCTCGCGCAAATCTACGCGCAACGCTCATGTCTCTAAATCGCATCCACACGCATCCTAGTAGGAAAATCTTACGTTTGGGTGCATATATTTTGCTGGACTTCTGGGAACGGTCTGCGATGAACATTTCCTGTAAATTCAAGTGTACCACCCTAGTGTATATGTACGTTATCGCACTCGATCACGAGTCCCGAACAAAGTACTTCACAATGTATTCATGTACATGTAGTATCGTTTTGTATACATGATGGCATTTTATCCTGATTTTTATACCTACATACTCCATCCACATTAGTGATGTTGGAGAACACAGTCGAGTTTATCATGGCGCTAGCTCTCCGAGCAATATCAGCGTCACTAGAACCTAATCCTGCCACTCCTGTGCGGACTTTTATCCACGTTAAGCACTGCAACCCCAGAATGAATTTAGCTGGCGCCAGCTTGAAGGTTCTAATTGAGATGACTGGTCCTCACAAATAATCTTCTACAGGGCTTAACGAACGATTCAAAAAAACGAACTTTGACTCAGCCCAAGATCCATTGTTGGTAGATCAGAATTTGGAATTTGAATTCACTGACAAACTGCAGTCTCATTGGCTTTGTGATGTCCTACTCTCGAAAGCCACCTATTTGCGCTTGTGTGAGGTATAGCATTTCTATCGCGTAGCTCTAGTACAGTCCAAGGTATTATTTGAGACGCTGGTGTATCAATCGTCGGAGGTAGGCTGAATGATATTTCTCGGTTCCGGGGAAGGAATTGCCCCAAGAGGATTAGTCAAGTAATTGCGGATGAATTCCCTCCAGTTGGCTTTCGAGGGCACAAAATGACCTTTGTAGGGTGTCAGAAACGAGTCACAGCGCAAGGTAGAATCGGCTGACCGCCATCATGCTCCTCCAATCTCTTGTTCTGTGAGAGATCAAGTAGACCCTTCGAGCGCTCCTCAATGACAATGACATCATTTCTCCCGAGAACGTGCAGGGTTGGTGTAGAATATGATGTCCCAAAAATATCTGCACTGGGAGACCCGGGTGCTTTGAAGCCTGAGACGGCTACACAGAATTTGCTAAGTCAAGGTTGAGCACTTGTATCTCTTTGGTAGGACACGTTACGTACAAAGGCGGGTGAGGAGCCTCTCCGTCAACAAGAAAGGGAGGGTACGAATGAGGCTGCTCTAGCTGAAGAAGGATGAAGCCTTGAGAGTCAACAGGTACGATCACATCGCGAATATACACACGAGAGCGGCAAGCAGAGCAGCCATAGCTGCTCCTTGACTTTGGTTTCACCGATAAGCCAAACGGCATCAAAGATGGACAGTGAAAGATTACCTGAAGCCAAACACACCCTACGACCAATTCATTTTAGCTCAATGTGTGATATTCAGGGGACATGCTCACATCATATCGATCACGCTGAAGAATATCTCTCAGAAGGAGTATAGATTCTTCTAACCCGTGGGCGATTGTTTTCTCCGGATTAGTTTTCCACCAAGCTCGGGGCATAGTTGAAGGATCAGATAATGTCGCGTTCGCCTCTGAGGCTCCGAGAGCTGCCAACGAAGCTGCAGACGAGGCGCCATTGAGGTCAACAGGAAGTAAGACAATGGGTCCGTCGATGAATACTATGTCCGCCTGTTAACCTGTACATCGGAATGGTTACTTAGATTCCAAGCGTACCCATTTCAATGTCTTTTCCCATCGATTTCCTCAAGGCCCCAAGCTTTGATGAATCGGCCTGTAAGATGGCGATGGGATACCAAAATACGGGGATACTTACGCGTTTACTGAATATACTTGCATTTTGCGAGTGCCTGAGGAAGTGAATCAGTCATCCATATATGCTGCTCAGCCAGTGGTGATTCGTAAACTCATCAGAGTATGAACTGGTACTTACCCATGCAGCATTAGCACCTTCGTTGGAGCAGCCATCACTGTTAGTTCGCCTCTTGTTTCGTTTAATAAGACCTGTAGGCTGTAGGATGACAGCCGTTCCGTCTACGTTATAAGAGCGTGTATGCAGTCAAAGTTCAAACGTTCGGGCACAAGGTCTATCGGTCTTCGCCTGAATATCGGCCGGGCCGGTCAGAGCCGTTCCAACTTCCCAGCGTCTGCTCACCACAAACTAAGTCGGAATTCGAACTCACACCACCCTTCATTTAGCCAAAATTCACAATGTACATCCTTAAGACTTTCTGTATCTGCAAATGAATCTCCTCGAATGTATTAAATCACTCCGAGTACCGATCTTGCGACGGTGAAACTTTCATCGTCTCGATGATCCCTCTCACTTTTTCATACACAGCGAACACGATCGCCTGTCCGGGAGCCACTCGCAGAACTCTCGGCGTAATCCCTTTGTAGAACGACCGGACGCCTTCCTGTTTCCACATATCCTTTGCTATCGCTGCGATCCGCTCAAACGCTGTGGTTCCTGGTTCATACGTGGCCTTTTGCAATCCTATCGGTGTCATGGATTACTTGGTTGTAGGCAATCCTTGTAAGATGAACTTACGAGTTTTAATCGTGTCTATCGGAGCGTTCGAGAAGGGTCCCATAGCACCTGATATGAGTCCAATAATCATGTGTTGGTATGAAGGTAAGTCCTTCAAATCCGGCTGGTATGTGTGTGCCAATTTCTTAAGTTCCTGATATGCAGTGAAGTTCGCGCCTACGATCACATTATCCGTGAGCCTCGTCACGGTATCAATGACAGATCTCGTTAGACTGACCTTGATTAGTAGCTTGCCGTAAAGCAGTGAGCGAGACGCCTCTATAAAGGGCCGAAAAACCTTCTTCACGTATGATCGTATACACCGCATGACCCGCATTACGATATCTTGGAGCTTCCAGCGGATCAGCGAGCGAATGTTGTTGCGCCTGCAGACGGATCTTCACCACTTCCATTGGACAGACGACCGCGACCGCCTCGGTCGTCCCAGCGGCGAGCCCAGCTAAGCCGAGAGTTCAGTTTCCATCACGCAATGACTTTGAATAGATTACCGATGAAGATATTCCCCACCCTGGTGTTTCCTGTTGATTTATCTGCTAACCATTCTTTGTAGGTCTCAAAGCTGGCAAATCGGATGGCCATCTTTGGGACTATTCCGGAAAGAACAGCGCCGAGGCCCTTGTATAATGCTAATGGAGTCTCGCGTCTAACGATCATAACACCTGTCGCCAAAAATCCTCGTGGTTTTGTCTGGCGGGGAGTTAGTTGATGAATGCCGTACAACATCACTTGTGACATACCCCAGGGGCCATCCCGGATTTGGAGAGTTGCATCCGCACCTTTATGGTGTCGAGTGGTTGGCAGCATATCTGAGACCCTTGATTGTTTTATGTAGTACACGACATTGAATATACACACTTACCGCCTCCATCGCGCCAGCGATCCCTCCAGCCGTGATATGTGTAGCGAAGCCTACCGGCTTCTTGTCCCCATTTCTTGACATAATTATAGAGGACCTAGGCGTCTGGAAGGTTGGGTAGTACCAGCGGATGAAAAGCTGGGCAAAACAAAATGAAGGTGACCCTCACATACGGCCGATGAAATGTAAGACTGGCGCGGATTTAACATGTGAATATTTGGTTTTCGTCTACTATTTCCGGACCTTCCCGCGTTAGCACCGACCAAGTATTTCCAGTACTGTGCTTGGATCAATCGATCATTGATCATCAATGTGCCCGCGAGAGTCACGAGCTATGTTTTCCCCGTTCTTTGTCCGCTTTGCATCCGAATATTGGTACATCCGCGTATGCACTAGTCAAAAAACCGGGCGGCACATCGATGTCAAGTCGACAAACAAGTTGAAACAATCAACCAACGGCTCAGAGCTGCCGATTTAGATGAGTGAAACAGTAATCTTTCCGGAACAAACGGGAGTCTATTGTGGATCCGGGTGTGAAGCAGATGCATAATGCGTGCCAAGGTTTCCGATGGAGAACGACAAGAATGCGATGAAATGAAATGCGTCGGACTACTAAGGTATTTAGGTAATCGTTGAGGTATAAGATCCAAGGATGTATGTGCTATGATGAACGTTAACTGTCGTTCGCGATTGCGTCGCCTTCGGTCGTTCGTACTTTCTCCGTGGCAGCAGGTATCGAGCAACAATCTTTAAGCAAAGGCATCGATTGTGACAAAGCCGACACAGGTAACGAATTTGGCGAACTAGACAGTGTTTCTTCGCCTGATGGTTTAGGTTCTTCGTCATGCGGAAACTCGTTTGATGCATGAAGGGACTCGATATCGTCATCGTGAACTGGGCAGAAAGGACCCTTAAAGAACCTATGTTGGGCGTATGCGAATGCAGGTCTGTTCATGTCCCGTGCCAATATATCAGGCTTACGATACAAGACATAAGAAATTGGTGACACATACGTCAGTGCAATGGAGAGCGCAATCATAACCAATGTGCCCGTGGGCGGAAAGTACCCATTACTCGTGGTGTCCTGCAATCTGATTAAACTGTGATTGTTTTTGAGCAATTCAAGGTGAGTACATACCACGACATGATAACTGTTTCTGTCAATCAGATATCTGAGGCCCCGACTCATGCCAGATTGCTGATTAACAGCCAAGTCGGTCCCCAGGACGCACAAGAAAGTACCGACAGATGCCGATCCTAGAAGCTATTCGATTCAGTCAGGATTCAAGGAGACCATGAAGGACGGATTCAAGGCTCACCAGTCCAGCTCGCTGTTTCCAAATGACAAGTACTGCACTCGCGAGACCACAAAATGCTACGAGTAGCCAATTGACGAAGAACGCAGCAGGCTCGGGTACCAATAGAAGGTTACGTAGTAATACTATCCGTATCCCGATGGCGAGGCCACCCTGTATGCCTAACTGGAGGAGCCCTACCATACGACCCACTTCTAAAAGCCCGAAGATAAAACCAAAACAAAATAGTACAAGAACTAGAGCTGTCAAGGTAATGTCCGAAATACCGACATTGTCTAATGTATTAACAAAAACGGACCATGCTGTAGATGGGTTAGGTAAATTTTCATACGAATGAATGATTAGTCGCTACGCACATGTTACAGCCACAGATAGGCCTATGGCCGCACCGGTGGTGAGGCGCCAGCCACGAAAGCCGGCCAGCATGAGCGGAACGCCAACTGTGAATGAAAACGCAATCCACAAGACAGCAGGCAGTGAGAATCCACTACCGCTGCCATCGGTTGCGAGTCCTTGAGGAATTTCATTTCCAGTGAGTGGACTGTAAACCACGACGGTCCCGTTTTTGTTGGTGACAATGACATTAGGATCTTGGAGATGTTGAAGTTGATGAATAGGCGTGGTCTGTGCCATAGCTCCTTGCAGCAGGGTACTTGCGAGAGCGGCGAAGGCTAGACATGGTACGAGTAGTAGTCGTTCGCTGTGGCGACATCTGCAGCGCGTTGAAACCACCATGGGTCTCCTGCTTACGCCAACGGCGAGAATTTAAAGAGAGACTAATTATAATATAAGACAAATGCCTTGATGGAGAGGCCTGAGCTAGAAGACAGGCCAACAAAATTCAAACGAGCGACAATCAAAATGAGTGGGGGTCAGCGTCTTGAGACGCTTTCTTGAAACGAAGACGAAGACGACGGAACGAAGAAAAAGACTTGTTGCTATTGCAATTGTGCCTTCCGTGAAGGTCCAGACTGCAATTGATCCGGTACCCGAAATCAAGGTTTGAGCATTTCAAACTGGTTACTTATTACGTCAATTCACTATAGTAAATTACGGCATTACAGACGGCCAGGTGGCGGACTTTCGAATCACCCGTTGGTGCTGCGGTGTAATTTCAATGTCCGACGTGCCGTTTGGTAGCCATCAGCCTTGCCGTGATGCGTGCCGAACTTTTCTGCGCTGGATGGGGATGCTCTCATCACTAGACTACAATCGGCATCCCACGCACTTTCGTATTTCTAGCTACTTGAACACAAGATATTCTCATTTCGACCAATATAATATTGAAGCAAAATCGAGTGAGATAGTTGAAAGCATGTAGAAATGTCACCAGCTACCGATACGACGCATTGACGGCCCGGGAGTTCAAATTGCACTTTGGAAGTGCTGGGCACCCTGGCGCATTCGGGTGGACTGCGGGCTTCGTCAGACCGGTCGTGCATTCAGGCTGCAATTGAGCTTACATAGACAACCCCAGCTCATCCAGACAACCCTACGTTACATGTTGTGACTTGCAGTGACATTTGCGTGACTGCCGTATGTGTGACACAACCTTCGTTCAATCATCTTTATTTACCTCAATGGAATCAGTAGCCTTTGGTATTATTCCTCGCAACTTGCCAAGATCAGAAGTAGTTCCCTTCAGCACTTCAACTTTTTCAGTCCTCTTACGGAGCCGCAAATTCAGCGGCAATGTCGCCGGACGAGATACTCTCTGGACCTGCAAGAATATCTCTGTCGTGGAAGTGTCCACGTGAAGGATGCTTCAAGATCTCGTGCAATCTCGACAGCAATGTCAACCTCTTCACAAGTGTGCAAGGTTTTGCCACCATGACTTGGCAGGGTCGTCTGCTTGGTCACCAGCACCATCTTACTTGAGGGTTGGTTTTCGCGTTCTATTGAATCATTCAAACCCATCCGTGTCATCATAATCTAGATTATATGTCTGCGAGTCTCAGATGTCCTGGAGTTCTACCAGGTCCTACCCCCCCTGCACCCGAGTTCTACCGTAAGTCGAGCACAACCAATTTGGCCAGACCAGTTGGCAAAACTGCGGAGGCAGTTCTGTCAACATCACTACCATAACTGCATGCCACGCACACAGTCATTGCTTATAGCAATTTGTTCAAAGCGGCCCGAGTACCCTATTGGATGCCAGTCGATATTTAATTAATGACCGTGCCAGACTATTATCTGTCTTTGTTTCTCACCTGCACGTCACAAAGAAGAGGCTTGTCAATTCTTGCTGCTGTGTTTTTGTTTTTGAACGATGTCTGCTCTCACCGATGCGAAATCGGAAACCGTTCATGTCTCGTCTGTCTTATCCAGCCATGCCCGTAATGATCTCGAGAGGAGATTGGTAAGGAAGCTCGATCTACATCTGTCCGTGGTCGTGCTTTTGTATGCTCTAAACTTTGTGAGTCTGAGTTTTTTATTACTTTGTGCTTACCCCTTTGTTAGATCGACAGAGGGAATGCTAGGTATGTTACGCATTTTCATACTCGTTTGTATGATGTCTTATGTCGTCTACAGTAGTGCACGGTTGGGAGGTTTTGAGAAAGACCTGCACCTGCATGGAACCCAATACGCGACGATCTTATCTATCATGTATGTGGGATTCAGTGCCATGCAAGTGCCAGCGTAAGTTGCATCCTTCGTCGAGGGAAAGTTTATTGTGACTTTCTTTCAGGAATATGTTTCTGCACTGGCTAGAGAGGCCTGCTATCCTTATTCCATCTTGTATGGTGATATGGGGTTTAGTGTCAGCATTAACAGGTTTGTCGACATTGGTCACTCATGACCATGAATACTAACCGTACCCAGGAATCACGCAGAAGTATGCATTTTCGCCGTTCGTCATTGTGGCGTCTGATAGTTCGATACAAGTTATACCCAGGTTTTTCTCGCCCGTTTACTTCTTGGTTTTTCCGAAGCTCCTTTCTTCCCTGGCATCATGTTTCTTATATCAGGATGGTACAAGCGAGACGAGCTCGCTGTGAGAACGACTTTCGTTACTTGTGGAGGCGTGCTCAGCGCTGGGTTCGGATCCCTGTTTGCATCTGGTATACTTAGAGGCATGCAGGGAAAACTTGGTCAAGCCGGATGGAGGCGAGAAACATTCGTCTCTTATCATTCGCTGAAGCTGACATATCTACAGGTGGTTGTTTTACATCGAAGGCGGCATCACTGTCATGGTCGCGATTTGTGCATTCTTTATACTCCCTAATTTCCCTCACAACACCACATGGCTCACTCCGGAGGAAAGATCGCTCGCTATCACTCGTCTTGCAGACGACGGCTATGGAAGACTTGACGGGCCTGGGAAACGGAAGACCATACAAGGACTGTGGGATGCTTTGTCCGACTGGAAGGTATGGTGGTTTTCAGGCGCGATCATCATCGATTATATGTCGCTATCATTCGTCCTTTACTTCCCGACGATCGTCGCAACAATGGGATATGATGTGACGATTACTTTGCTGCTAGCCGTTCCTCCATGGGTACTTGCCGCTATTGTAGCTTTTGCTCTTTCAAGGTTTGTAAATTAATTTTTTGCTCTGTCTCGAATCGTGTCTCACGGACGATCAGGTACTCTGACAACGCGAAAAAGCGTTGCATGTACATTTTTGCATCGAGCGCATTGGCTGCCCTTGGATTCATTATATCCATCTGTACGATGAACATGATTGCGCGCTATGCTTCCATGTAAGCAGAGTCGGCGTCTAATAGAGTGATGCCTTGTGTACTCAGAGACGTGCAGGTTTTTGATGGCTCAAATCGCCGCAGGACAAATGATTCTCTGGGCATGGATAAACAACACTTTTGCCAGAGAACCTGCGAAGCGAGCCGTTGCTGTCGCTTTGATCAGTGCGATGTCTGCGGTGGGGAGTATCGTCGGATCGTTAGTGCCACCGATCTCTCGCTCTCGCTGATTATTTACAATCTCTGATAGGTTCCTCTGGCCTCTCACCTGGGGCCCGACATATCGTTATTCCTACGCCGCCTGCCTCGCAGCACTTGGGATGTCATCGATCATGCTTGGTTTCATGCATTTGCATTTGAAGCGGGTGAATGAGCAGATTGACAGAAACGAGCAGAATGCAAAGGATATCAATGACCTTCAGGTCCCTGTTGGTTTTAGATATCTGGTGTAGTCAACGATCCATGCGAATCTCGCATCAAGAAATTATGGGCGATACTATTGCTTATCCCGCAAGACACAATGTAACTTTGTACCGTTTGGCTGTAAATTATGACAAAGCTTAAATTTTGTTGTAGCGACTTCTTTCAATCATACATCCTGTCGTACACTCGGCTGCTGGACGCCCTGCGTAGTGCGTCATATATGAAGTGAGCCCTTATATGGGACGGAAGAAAGAACATACGCTCGGTCCATTACTGGACAAGAGGGATGGAGACAGAGGGTTTCTTTGATGATGCCGTCGAAGAACGGTAGTAAGGATCATAGGGCAGTGACTGGCATTATCCATCGTTTCCACGGTACGTCGGATTTCCCGCACGTCTGCCACACTTTCCTCGCCAAATATGGGGAGCAGGATGATCACTGCGATCGTCCATACCTTCCAGAGTTTTCTAATCAAGGAGTTGCAACGCACCATCGTGTGTATGAGTTCAGACGCAAAAATGACCAGACATACCCGATCTTCCGCCACGCTTTCGCATACGGGTCATTTTCTGCTGCCGAAAGGGTGTTGGAGGAGTACCTTTGCAGACGATGCGGTGTAGTAGCGTGTTTTTGAGAAGACGGGATTGAGAAGTTGACGTTGCTGGTAAGACATTATTAAAAGAACAGAATTTGGAGAAATGCGTCTCACCGGGTGGATGTCAGGCCTTCACCGAACATGAGTTTGCCTGACTTTGATAGTACCGAATTAATTCTCTCCGACGTAGAATGTCTCAAAGGAGACTACATCAGGAACCTTGACCAGAAACACTGCACCTTTACTAAAAAAGAAAACTGGGTGCAATGAAACAATGCCGAGAGGCATTGCAACCGACTTCAGAATGTTACGGTTGAGAGTCGAACATTTCGCATCGTTGTAATGAGATGTCAGAGAGATACACATTATCTCTCTATAATCTCATTACTGCATTGATCTACTGTAGATGGGCATGCTTTTTCGCACATACTGTCGTACCTCTGCAAAGAAATTGAAGATGAATTAGATTTTTTTCGGCCATAAGAACAGGACTTGTTCATCCGTTGGCAATTAACTGTCTGATAGGAACGACACCACGTCCGTAATGTTAGGCTTCTGGAGCCCCATCGAGAGAGGCTGAGACATACGATCTAGACCATTCCAACACAATACACCGCCTTTCTTTCGCTCTCACTTCCTCTGCGACTCTGTTAAGGTTCATGCGTTGTGATTTGAAGACAGGTGTCGAGCCCAGTCTCAGTGAACTGTAGGCCATGATGCCCTGGGCCGCTCCACGTCACAGTGAGGCCGATTGGTCTGTGCTGGAGCAGTAGAATCCGCCATAGTGTCTAATATCTCGGGACGTCCTGATCTGATACAATGTACCTGGGTGATGATGACAACGGTTCTAACAAGGTTTAACGTTTCAGGGCGAGTACGCATCCGGGAAAATCCGATCCAAAATCATTGGAGGAGGGATTTTCAATGTCATCAAGGATGCATGGGGCCCCCTCTACCCATCCACCCGATACTAGTTCAAACGAGAGTAGTGCTGGTAATGTGATCATCATGATAGTATTACATATTGTCTTCATCGAAGATCAACGTGCTGGTGGCATCGAGTTTCCATAGATTGTCCTTGCACATCGCCTTGATTAATTCCTAGCAGTTTATAGGCGTTCCTCGGAAGAGCTGATTGATCATGCTTTGAAACCGTCTTTCATCAGATGGCAACGACCCTTCTCATCCTCTCTGACATAATTATTCGTTATGAAAGTGGTTGGATCTTCGTTTGAACTGCTACGTGACGAGTCGAGCTCAGTCATAGTCTCTATTTGAGCGACTAAAGCCGAAGAGAAATGACCTTGTTAATCAATCCACAAGACAGTTAAATGATGGGCATGGACAGCTGGTTGGCAGTTACAGGACCATTACGCGGAGCGAGCCCAAGATGAACTACGACATCTATGGTATGCAGTTGTATGAAACTGCATGATTATCCTTGAACCAGAGATGCAGTGGAAGGTCAGTGCGTAGTCATGTCACGATCCTTTGCGGAAAACAGCCTGGGCAGCCTCTGCTAACGCAAGTTCTTTCGCCTCCTCTTCGGCCTGAAAGCAGTGTCAAGAAGGATAAGACGATGTGTAAAATGTGGAAACTTGCAGTTGTCTGTTCGCGCTGCTTTGCTTCAGCTTCTTTCAATGCCATGTACTATGATAGTCGACGTGAGTTGCCCTCATATGCTAATTGTAGTCGGTTTTCTCACCTCTGCACAATTTGCGTCAGAAAGTTGGGGTGAAATTGGTGGTATACATCATCTCACCTCTCCCTTTCGCTAGTGTTTCGCGGTGCACAGCATAGCCCATGAATACTCCATACACGCTTAGTGCAGCCAGTCCACTGACGAAAGTGCGGTGCAGGACGTCTGTTATCATCATCTTGCCCGACCTGGGGACTGCAACGATAAAATTCGAGAGCGTGGAATAGGTGAAAATGACTCCCGGTATTGTCACGTAAATTGCGCGAACTCCCGATTAAGTTCCGCTCATCATACTTTCCGATAAGTAACAACATATATAATTTGATAGATAGCACTGGGAAGAACCAACAGTACAAACAACCTAAACATCAACAGAATACGAGACTGCCATCATAGCCGCCAATCTCTGAAGAAATCGTGATCCATCCGGACAAAGCTAATCATGTAGTCCGATACTGCCCCTCCTTCGTCCTCTTCCTCTGCAACTTGGTCCATCTCGGAAACATCCAACATTTCCTTACCAGGAGGTTGATCATCCTGCGCATTATCCGGCAACCTGCCTTCATTTTCAATTTCTCCTTCAGCACCGAAGTCAGCTTGATCAGCGCCTTCCATCACATCTTCTTCTCTCGCGGCTACAGCGGCAGCATGGACGTCTTCCTTGTCCTCAAATTCAACTAGAGCCTTCGACAAAGCTCCTTGGTCATCAAACAGGGATCGCCAGTCGAATTCGCCTTTTTGGATGACGAGATCGTCCAAGGAGCGCTTTTGATTAGCTTTCAACAACATGGCTTCTTCAACCGAATGTGCAGAAATAAACCGGTAGATGTGGACGTCTCTTATCTGACCGATGCGATGAGCACTGCGAAAAGGTTTGATCACTTATCACCATGTAGAAATTGGGGAGCCATCTTACCGATCCTCGCACTGTTTGTCCATTTGGGGATTGAAGTCGCTATCGTAGAAGATGACGGTGTCTGCTCCAGTGAGACTATTGGCATGGTTAGCAATCAACAGACCAGGCAACCTACAAATACTTACTTGATACCTACTCCACCTGACCGAGAGGAAGAAATGAAGCAAAAAATCCTGGAGTCTGCATTGAACCGCTCAGTGATATATTGTCTGTCTTCGATTTTGGTGGCTCCATCAAGACGAAGATAGAGATAGCCATGAAAGTTGAGAAAAATCTCCAGAATATCCAAAATCCTTGTCATCTGTGTGAAGATGAGAACACGGTGTCCTTCCAATTTCTTCTGTCGGAGAAGGCGACTAAGTTCTTGCAGTTTGCCACAATCATATTGGAGAAGGGATGGATCTGGGAACGCTATCTGCAGCTTGACGCTAGCGTGATGCAGGACGCTATCGAAGTCAGGTGACTGACAAGATATAACGTGCTCGCATCCTGCCAGGGCAAAACAAGGTAGGTCCAAAGCAACTGCGGCTGGAGTGACGAAAGCGAACCTTTCGACCACAGGTTGCAGCTCTTTAGCCCGGTCAGCGTAAGTCTTAACTGCCGAATGAAGAGGCAGAACCATGTCCATGAAAGGATGGCTGATGTCCAACGTGGAAAGGGGGAGGATTGGTCGATGACACTGCTTAGCAATAGTCAACAACTCTTGGCTGTAGACCGGTAACCGGGTACAACGCAGGCGATTGAGGTAACCGATTTGTGCCCAGCGAGCTACTTGTGCAACTCGCTGTTGGTATGCATGGTAAGCACGATATCCTTGAATAGTACGAGTGTCCTTTGGTGGCGGCTCCTCAGGCATTTCTGAGATAAGTGGGAGCCGATGTGTCGCATCAAGGCGCCGCGTTTCCAGAGCAGGAAGTAGAGGTACGTTTTGTTGATCAATAAACCGCAGGCCAAGAAGATCAAGATTAATACTGTCTTCATCACTCGCCCGAAGAAGCTCTCGCCGAACTAGTAGCTCCTTGATCTCGAAGTCTGCGGCGACAGAACGTGTCATAGCGAAAGATGTTACGATCGGACGGACCTCAAAAAGATCCGGATGATTACAGACTTTGCGGAGCTGCATGAGGATATTTGCGATCTTCTGGTAAACACCAGATTGTAAGGCGTCTCTGGTATGCGCACGATCCATGAACTCGTCGTAGAGGAATCGCTGCCGCTTGGATAAGGGACACAGAATGAGATGCTCGTATTTGCTGGGGAGCTCTTTCTCAACGTCACGTTTGAGACGGCGGAGTAGATAGGGACGCAGAACTGTGTGGAGTTTGGTCACGCGTTGCATATTTTCGTCGTCCAACAAGGTACCCATTTCAATCGCTTTCTCCAAGGGATCTAAGTATCGGAAGTAAGCAATGATCCATTACACCCCAAAATGCAAGTGTGCATACTTGAAAACCATTCGCCAAACTCTTTTAGGTTGGCGAAGTTAGTACCAGACATCAGGAATTGCAAAAGTGCCCATAACTCAGTCAGATTGTTTTGTAGCGGGGTGCCAGTCAGGAGAAGACGCCGAAAGGAGCGGAACATTAAGAGAATATTCCATCGTTGCGACTTGAAATTTTTGATCATATGTGCTTCGTCCAGTATCATGTAATACCAAGCTTTGCGCTTGAATATGTGAGCATCGCGACTAGCGAGCGTGTATGAGGTTATGCAGACATTGAAGTGGTGCTTGTTGTACCACCCTTGACGAAGCTCCTTGCGGCGTTTCGTCGATCCGTGGTAACTCAGAGTTTTGAATCCAGGTAAAAACTTCTTGAATTCCATTTCCCAGTTTAGGAGGACACTTGTGGGGACAATCTAGATGGCTGGTTGGTAAATGCAAAGGGTAACAGGTGAGCCACGCACAATAAGATGCGGACCCCATATTCCACGATCACAAGCTAGATGAGCAAGGAGCG